AAGAGAATGAATGACCATTCCAAGATGACAAAGAAAAGAAAGAAGGAAAGAAAGAAAGGAAGAAAACCGGAAAATGGGATCTTGAGCCACTTTTCACTTTCCTGAACTCTGGTTTTGAATTAAGTCAGCTTTATAAGGTATTTTTGGAAAGACCGGAGCATAAATCTCATCCTTCTTTCTCCTTTCTGTATGAGGCTGGGGGAATTAATTGCTTTTCCCTATTATCCATATGACGCTTGAATGAAACCCATTTGATCTGTTCATTAAAATGAAAAGTAGCTCTTTCAGAAGAGTCAGGCCACGGCTATTAATTCTGGAATTAAGCCCGCGACAATAAAAGGAGGGGTGGAGGCACAATCTAATGGGATTCCCCCCCTTTTTGAATCATGCAACGGGATTACAGGAAAAAGCTTGCTTCTACCTTCACAGGCTAATTCAGGCAGAGCACTGCGCTCGTCTCTGCTAGTTCCAGCCACCGAGGTCTAGGCAGCGGTTTGGCCAGAAGATGCAAGGAGAAGAAGAGGAGCAAGAGAGGAGTGTTACACATAAGGAAGGGAAGGGAAGACCAAGGGAAGGTTTGCACAAAAAAGGGGAAGCAAAACATAGCAGGGGGAGAAACCTTCCACAGAAGCTCAGATAGGAGGAATCATAGAATCATAGAATCATAGAATCAAAGAGTTGGAAGAGACCTCATGCTAACAGGAGCGGGGTACAGAGATCATACGACCCCTCTGTTACGCCAGCTCCACTGGCTGCCGATTAGCTTCCAATCCAGTCCAACCCCATTCTGCCAAGAAGCAGGAATATTGCATTCAAATCACCCCTGACAGATGGCCATCCAGCCTCTGCTTAAAAGCTTCCAAAGAAGGAGCCTCCACCACACTCCGGGGCAGAGAGTTCCACTGCTGAACGGCTCTCACAGTCAGGAAGTTCTTCCTCATGTTCAGATGGAATCTCCTCTCTTGTAGTTTGAAGCCATTGTTCCGCATCCTAGTCTCCAAGGAAGCAGAAACAAGCTTGCTCCCTCCTCCTCCCTGTGGCTTCCTCTCACATATTTATACATGGCTATCATATCCCCTCTCAGCCTTCTCTTCTTCAGGCTAAACATGCCCAGCTCCTTAAGCCGCTCCTCATAGGGCTTGTTCTCCAGACCTTTTATCATTTTAGTCGCTCTCCTCTGGACACATTCCAGCTTGTCAATATCTCTCTTGAATTGTGGTGCCCAGAACTGGACACAATATTCCAGATGTAGTCTAACCAAAACAGAATAGAGGGGTAGCATTACTTCCCTAGATCTAGACACTATGCTCCTATTGATGCAGGCCAAAATCCCATTGGCTTTTTTTGCCGCCACATCACATTGTTGGCTCATGTTTAACTTGTTGTCCACGGGGACTCCAAGATCTTTTTCACACGTACTGCTCTCGAGCCAGGCATCCCCCATTCTGTATCTTTGCATTTCGTTTTTCCTGCCAAAGTGGAGTGGAAGGAAAACTATACACTGGAAGAACTATACATTTCTGGAGAAAGCACTTCTAGGTGGTCAGGGGAGCTTTTGCACAATTAAAACTTATGCGCCAGCTGTGCCCGTACCTTGGGAAGTCTGACTTGGCCACGGTGGTCCACGCTCTGGTTACATCCTGTTTAGACTACTGCAATGCTCTCTACGTGGGGTTGCCTCTGAAGACTGCTCAGATGCTTCAATTAGTCCAACAAGCGGCAGCCAGATTGCTAACATGGTGGGAGTTGAAGTCAGGGTACAGGGAGCGCACAACGCCCTTTTTACTCCAGCTCCACTAGCTGCCTATTAGCTTCCAAGCACAATTCAAAGGGCTGGTTTTGACCTATAAAGCCCCAAACAGCTCTGGCCCATTTTACTTGTCCAAACGGATTCTCCCCTATGAACCATCAAGCACAGCATGAACACTCGAGGAGCCCTATTCAAACCAAAAGGCAACACTTTGTATTGGAACACTATTAAGATCTTCCAGGGATGGGGGGCCCTGCTCTCGGTCCCACCACCTTCGCAATAACGGTTGGTGGGGACGAGGGACAGGGCCTTCTCGGTGGTGGCTCCTCGGCTTTGGAACTCCCTCCCACTAGAGATTAGAACTGCCCCCTCCCTCCTGACTTTCAGGAAACTAACAAAGACCTGGCTTTGGAATGTGGCATTTGATAACTGAATCAATAACCTTTGCCCACATGGAAGGAGAATGATGAACGATGAACCGCGACTGTGATTGTATTGACGATTTGGCTCGTATAATGTGATGACAATGTTTTATTGTATTTATATTTTAACATGTAATGGTGTTGCATTGTGTTGTTTTGTATATTATTGTATATTAACACATGTTGTGAACCGATCTGAGTCCCTCCTAGGAGGTGAGAAGGTCGGTATATAAAACTTCTAAATAAATAAATAGGTCTTCCAGACAACTCGATAGTCATAGTCAGCTAAAAGTTGACCAGAGAGTTGCCCTGGAGCATCTAGATATTCCTCAGTTCAAAAAAGAAAGGACCACACATTTTGCATTTACAGTTTTTCCATTTTCAGCCCCCCCCCAATCCTAGCAAATGTGACGAGGCCATTGCATTATTACAACAGGGCTGCGGTAGCACAGCATGAACACTTGAGGAGCCCTATTCAACCCAAAAGGCAACACTTTGTACTGGAATGTTCCGAGTCGCCTGTAGGCTGAGAGGGGCAGTATATAAATACGGTAAACAAAATAAATAAAAATAATGCTAACCAGATGGTTAGCAGTTTGAAGCTGTGGATCAGGGTGAACTCCGGCTGTAAGCCCTAGCTCCTGCCAACCTAGCAGTTTGAAAACATGCAATGTGAGTGGCTCTCGATTTGATCCTAATTAGATCTCACACATTACCATTGTCCTGGTTAGAGATATAATGCTCCCTTTATACTACCCCTTAGGTCCAAACCCTGTTATGTACTTTCTTTTAGCACTTTATCCATCAACCCTATCCTTTGTCAAATGATCTGCACCAGTTGAGCACCCGAATTCAGTACTGTGCACTATTCAGACCATTGAAAGTGGTTTTATATTGTTTGAAATGTTTTTATGAATTGTATTGTTATTTTAACCATGTTGAATTTCAGGCATGTAAGGTGCGTCGAGTCCCTTCGGAGAGATGGAGGCGAGGTACAAAAATAAAGTTGTTGTTGTTATTATTATTATTTATATTGCTATTATTATTATTATGTTATCAATAGGTACCAGTAAAAGGTGCCCATGTAGCCATGCTAGCAAACACAACCAGGAGGGTCTGCGGACAATAGGCTCCTTGGCATGGAAAAATGGAACAAGAGCACCTCTGCATGGCCAGAGCTGAGCATCGCCTCCAGACGCCAGAGATGGAAAGGGAAACCTTTGCCTTTGTTTGTGTATTGTATGTCATTGCTCACCTAATAAAAGGCATTGAATGTTTGCCTATATATGTGTATACTGTAATCCGCTCTAAGTACCCTTGGGAAGATAGAGTGAAATATAAAAAAGTGTATTATTGTTGTTGTTGATGTTATTCTTATTCATATAAGGTACAACCCCACCAAACAAAGCAAAGTCAACTGTCACATCCTGGCACTTTTTTGGGGATGAAGCATCGTCCTGCAAAATACTATGCATTTTGTATGTGGAAGGCCTTAAAGTTTAGTAGTTCATAAGACGTTCAACTGAAAGAACGTGTGAGTGCTGATGTGGGAGATCATAAAGCCAATGGAGAATTACTACTCTGACAATACAATGCTTGAATGCTTTGATGTCCGGCATTTACATCAGCTGAAACTGCAGGTTTCATCTCACTCACAAGTTTATAGAATCACTTCAGTTTTGCTGAATTTAATTGCAAAAACTTTTCTGAAGGCCACAGCATTGGAGAAGGCTGGCCTAGATGAAGAAAGTATGCAATTCCTCCCTTGAAAACTGAGCTAAAACCTCTTATTTTTCAGATGTATGTTCTATTATGAGAGTTTTATTTCTTAATAAATAGCAACCTTCTACAAGCCTCCATTAGTTACTTGTATGTATATAATTCGTATTGCTTACTGTATTGTATATGTATGTATCGGTATGCAGTTTTCCTTAACTTGTGTTGTGGGAGGGGCTGCAGACCATGTGATCAGATCTGGGATTGTTCAGGACTCAGACTCCATTTTAGAAACAGTATGTTTTAAGATGCCAATAGAGGCAGACTCCATTGGACTTTCAATGTAGAAACAGTTTGCCTTAGAAGTCTTAGAACAGAGACTCTATTAGACTCTCAGACCAGAGAGATGCTAGATGATGGACTATTGATTAGAAGAAAAGTGCCCTGTGTTATCTGAATAGAGAAACTACTTCAAATCCTATCTGTGACTGGATTGAAATGCAAAGTGCCTTTATGCTGAATATATGAAGTTCGTGAGTAAACCACCTATATTATTTTAACAAAGACTACTTTATTTTTGCTCTCTTGAGAGAATGATTTAAACCTAGATGTTTGAAGGGAGAGTAGATGTTTTGGGACAACTGAAAGAACACTTCTGAAACTCTCTCCCCCCCCCCCCCCCCCAAGTCTCTATACATGTGATTTGGCATATCTTTGTCCCTAACAGTTCAAAGAGATATCTCGGTATATTAGTTTAACAGCTGAGAAACCTAATTGCCTTGCATGAATACTAGTGGATATCTACCACTAAGGAGAAGGTTGACTCAAGCAACATTTTAACTCTTCGCAGGGAGTTTCATGATTTTCCCAAAAGATTACGGCGAATGCCATTTTCCAAAAGGTTGTGGCATCATTTTTCCAAAAGGTTATGATTTCTAACAAGGTCATGCCTTTCCAAATATCATAATTCTCCAAAATCATTGTCATATGGACAAGAAGAGCGTTGTAATTCAAGTGAACACCTTGGAAAAAAACTGAAAGAATCCCCCATTTATTTCTTCTTTTTGACCATGACAAGGGACACCCCATGTACGGAGAAGGGCCTCCATCACCTGTTCATCCAGTCTCACTTGTTTCTTCCTGAGGCCTTCGTTTTCCAAATTGATGGTCTGCAGCTCACGCTCAAGAGAATTCATCTGGCTTATCTGTCAGGCAGAGAAATGGCGTTTTAGAGCAGGTTTTAAATTGGATGTTCTATTGTTCTTAGTGCTAACCACTTCGGGTCTCTTTTTAGAGAGAGAGAGAAAGATATCTGTATATGCATTGGCATATGTTTGTCCCTAATAGTTCAAAGACATAACACCTGAGAAGCCTAATTGCCTTTAACAGACAATAGTTCTTTCTCCAGGTAACTACACTCCACTTGCTTTACCACCATCAGATCCTCTTGAGGTGCCAGCCACAGATGCAGGCGAAATGTCAGGAGAAAATGCTTCTAGAACATGGCTATACAGCCTGGAAACTACACAGAATACCAGTGATTGTGGCTGTGAAACCCTTTGACAATACAAGGGTTGAATGAAAAGTAATGCCTCCACCTTTGTTACTTGGGTTTGGATGGGAATATTTTAATAAATCTGGAATGTGTCCAGAGGGGGGCGACTAAAATGATCAAGGGTCTGGAGAACAAGCCCTATGAGGAGCGGCTTAAGGAGCTGGGCATGTTTAGCCTGAAGAAGAGAAGGCTGAGAGGAGATATGATAGCCATGTATAAATATGTGAGAAGAAGCCACAGGGAGGAGGAGGGAGCAAGCTTGTTTTCTGCTCCCTTGGAGACTAGGACACGGAGCAATGGCTTCAAACTACAAGAGAGGAGATTCCATTTGAACACGAGGACAAACTTCCTGACTGTGAGAGCCGTTCAGCAGTGGAACTCTCTGCCCCGGAGTGTGGTGGAGGCTCCTTCTTTGGAAGCTTTGAAACAGAGGCTGGATGGCCATCTGTCAGGGGTGATTGGAATGCAATATTCCTGTTTCTTGGCAGAATGGGGTTGGACTGGATGGCCCATGAGGTCTCTTCCAACTCTTTGATTCTATGATTGTATGATTCTATGAAATCAAACACAGAACTAATCCTTAGAATGTGCTCTTTAACTACCACTATTCACTTTTCCTCATAATCACCAGACAATTGGATACATTTCTGCCAACGATGAATAAGTTTTCTGAAGCCGTCACGGAAGAAGTTGACACTCTATTTCCACAACCAGCGTCTCACCGTTCTCTCAATGTCTTCATCAGAAGCATCATGATGTCCCCGCAGATCTTCTTTCATTATCAGGAGCAGATGGAAGTCAGACGGTGCTAAATCTGGACTGTTTGGAGGATGCGGTAAGGTGATGAGATCCAGTCTCTGAAGTTTCAAGTCTGTGTGCTTTCATTTCAGGTGTCAGCAACCTGGGTACCCATCGTGCACAGATCTTCCGATAGCTAAGCAAAGCAATAATGTGACCCACATGTTCTTGTGAAATGCCGATTATGCTTGAAATTTTTCTCTGAGTGATACGACGATCATCCTGAATCAATCTGTCAACCTTCTGCTTGTGAAACTCAGTGGTTACTGTCACAGGACGTCCAACTCTGTTTGTCAAGCAAGTCAGATGTTCCTATCTCAATATCTTTAAACTTACTCACCCAATGACGCACAGTACTCACATAGAATCATAGAATCAAAGAGTTGGAAGAGACCTCCTGGACCATCCAGTCCAACCCCATTCTGCCAAGAAGCAGGAATATTGCATTCAAATCACCCCTGACAGATGGCCATCCAGCCTCTGTTTAAAAGCTTCCAAAAAAGGAGCCTCCACCTCACTCCGGGGCAGAGAGTTCCACTGCTGAACGGCTCTCACAGTCAGGAAGTTCAATGCAAGTTCACATCAATGCGATCACCATAAACAGCTCACATTCTCTGATGAATCTCCTTTGGGGTCACACCTTCTGCTGTCAAGAATTCAATGACTGCACGTTGCTTAAGTTGCATTGACCGACAATCTGCACAGGGTTCCATACTTCACACTTTAACAACACAATCGTTCAATGCTAAGGCTTCCTGCCAAAATTGAAGTGTAGAGGAGAGTCTACTGAGCAAGCCAGTACCTGCCGCATATCAGTACTGCCATCTGTTGAGGAGTTACGAAAATGGAGGCATTACTTTTCGTTCAACCTTTGTACGAAGAAAACACAGATTTAAATCATGACAGGGTTGTTGTAGTTTTTTCGGGCTATATGGCCATGGTCTAGAGGCATTCTCTCCTGACCTTTCGCCTGCATCTATGGCAAGCATCCTCAGAGGTAGTGAGGTCAGAGGTAGTGAGAACAGAGAGGAAACAAACAAGGACATCTAATCACCTCGCAACAAAAGTTTGCTCTAGGCACTGTCAGGCCATTATATGCTAATCAAGGTGGTCAGTTGAAACATTCACACCTAGCTCCAGCAGACAAGAGTCCTTTGTCCCACCCTGCTCATTCCACAGACATATAAACTCTTTTTTCCTAGTTCCAACAGACCTCACTACCTCTGAGGATGCTTGCCATAGATGCAGGGGAAACGTCAGGAGGGAATGCCTCTAGACTATGGCCATATAGCCCGAAAAAACTACAACAACCCAGAGATTCCGGCCATGAAAGCCTTTGACAATACATTAAATCATGACAACCTTGAATTAAACCAAGGTTCAAACCAAACACCCGCTTTAATCGAATGACTTCTGGTTGCTCATCTCCTCATTTGGAACAAAACACACTTTGGCCTGGGACTGACCTTCCTGTTGGCCAAGGCCAGCTCCTTCTGCAGCCTCTCACACTCCCGCTTCAAGCCCAGCTTCTCCTGCTCCATGGCCTTCACCATCCCTGACTGGCTTTGGTGCTTTTGGTGCTTGAAGGAGAGCACAGTGGACTCCAGCTGCCGCACCTGGCAAAGAGAAGAACAGGATAAATATGGTTTTATTAACTCAGAGGGGGAAACGTAAGTCATTGAATGGGTAAGAGTGGAATATGCCACCTGGAAGTGTGATGGAGTCTAATTCCCTGGAGGTTTGCAAACAGAAGCTGAGTGGCCATCTGTAGGGAGGACTTTGATGGCGTCTTTCTGTATTGCAGAATGGGGTTAGACTGGATGGCCTTCGAGGTCTTTTCCAACTCTATAACTCTAGGATTCTATGAACCACAGCATTATAGAATCATAGAACCAAAGAGTTGGAAGAGACCTCCTGGGCCATCCAGTCCAACCCCATTCTGCCAAGAAGCAGGAATATTGCATTCAAATCACCCCTGACAGATGGCCATCCAGCCTCTGTTTAAAAGCTTCCAAAGGAGGAGCCTCCACCACACTCCGGGGCAGAGAGTTCCACTGCTGAACGGCTCTCACAGTCAGGAAGTTCTTCCTCATGTTCAGATGGAATCTCTTCTCTTGTAGTTTGAAGCCATTGTTCCATTGCGTCCTAGTCTCCAGGGAAGCAGAAAACAAGCTTGCTCCCTCCTCCCGTGTGGCTTCCTCTCACATATTTATACATGGCTATCATGTCTCCTCTCAGCCTTCTCTTCTTCAGGCTAAACATGCCCAGCTCCTTAAGCCGCTCCTCATAGGGCTTGTTCTTCAGACCCTTGATCATTTGAGTCGCCCTCCTCTGGACACATTCCAGCTTGTCAATATCTCTCTTGAATTGTGGTGCCCAGAATTGGACACAATATTCCAGGTGTGGTCTAACCAAAGCGGAATAGAGCATGGGTAGCATGACTTCCCTAGATCTAGACACTATGCTCCTATTGATGCAGGCCAAAATCCCATTGGCTTTTTTTGCCGCCACATCACATTGTTGGCTCATGTTTAACTTGTTGTCCACGAGGACTCCAAGATCTTTTTCACACGTCCTGCTCTAGAGCCAGGCATTGTCCCCCATTCTGTATCTTTGCAATTATATGTGGTCCAATTATAATGGACCACAAGGGCCATCCACTCCAGTTCTATTCTGCCTTGAAAGGATGCACAGCTAAAGCATTCTAGAGCAGCGTTTCTCAACCTGAGGGTCAGGACCCCTGGGGGGGGGGGGGTCACGAGGAGGTCTCAGAGGGGTCACCAAAGACCATTAGAAAACACAGTATTTTTATTTATTCTGTTGGTCATGGGGGTTCTTTGTGGAAAGTTTGGCCCAATTCTATCATTGGTGGGGTTCAGAATGCTCTTTGATTGTAGATGAACTACAAATCCCAGGAACTACAACTCCCAAATGTCAAGGTTTATTTTCCTCAAACTCCACTAGTGTTCACGTTTGAGCATATTGAGTATTTGTGCCAAGTTTGGTCCAGATCCACCCTTGCTTGAGTCCACAGTGCTCTCTGGATGGAGGTGAACTACAATTCCCAAAAGTCAAGGTCTATTTTCCCCAGGCTCCACCAGTGTTCACATTTGCACATATTGAGTATTTGTGCCAAGTTTGGTCCAGATCCATCATTGCTTGAGTCCACAGTACTCTCTGGATGGAGGTGAACTACAACTCCTAAACTCAAGGCCAATGCCCACCAAACCATTCTAGTATTTTCTGTTGTTCATGGGAGTTCTTTGTGCCAAGATTGCTTCAATTCCATCATTGGTCGAGTTCGGAATGGTCTTTAATTGTAGGTGAACTATAAATCCCAGCAACTATAACTCCCGAGTGATAAAATCAATCCCACCCAACCCCACCAGTATTCAAATTTGGGTGAATCGGATATTTGTGCCAAATTTTGTCCAGCGAATGAAAATACATCCTACATGTCAGATATTTACATTACGATTCATAACAGTAGTAAAATTCCAGTTATGAAGTAGCAATGAAAATAATGTTATGGTTGGGGGTCACCACAACAGAGGAACTCTATTAAGGGGTCGCGGTACTTGGAAGATTGAGAACCACTGTTCTAGAGAGATGTCCATCCAACCTCAGTTTAAAGCAGGTGTGGGCAACCTTCGGCCCTCAAGTGTTTTGGACTTCAACTCCCACAATTCCTGACAACTACAGCTCCCTGTGGTATTGGAGGAAAGTGCTGAGAGTGCCTTGGAGTGCGAGAAGATCCAACCAGTCCATCCTCCAGGAAAGAAAGCCCGGCTGCTCACTGAAGGGAAGGAGACTAGAGACAAAGTTGAAGTCCTTTGGCCACATCATGAGGAGACAGGAAAGCCTAGAGAAGACAATGATGCTGGGGAAAGTGGAAGGCAAAAGGAAGAGGGGCCGACCAAGGGCAAGATGGATGGATGGCATCCTTGAAGTGACTGGACTGACCTTGAAGGAGCTGGGGGTGGTGACGGCCGACAGGGAGCTCTGGCGTGGGCTGGTCCATGAGGTCATGAAGAGTCGGAGACGACTGAACAAATGAACAGCAACACAGCTCCCAAATGGCAAGGTCTATTTCCCCCAAACTCTACCAGTGTTCACATTAGGACATATTGAGTATTCATGCCAAGTTTGGTCCAGATCAATCATTGTTTGAATCCACAGTGCTCTCTGGATGTAGGTGAACTACAACACCCAAAACTCAAGGTCAATGCCCACCAAACCCTTCCAGTATTTTCTGTTGGCCATGGTAGTTCTGTGTGCCAAGTTTGGTTCAAACATTTCCAAAAGGTATGATCTCCAAATGGTTGTGAATGCCATTTTCCAATGTTTTCCAGTGCAGTTCTGTACTCCCTGTTTCAAAACTGTTGGGGTTGTTTTGGACTACAGAAGGCTTATGTTGACATGGAAATGCACGTGAACGGGACCCCGTTTACCTTCTCCCGGGAGTGCGTGAGATCGGCTTTGGCGCCCTGGGCTTCCCGCTGCAGCCTCTCGTTCTCCTGCCGTAGCAGCTGCTGCTCTTCCTTGACCAGTTGGTCCAGTTCCTCCCAACAGAGCTTCTTCTGCTGGCTCTGCAGACCAGAGGAATTCATGGCCGCCTCCAGAACCCGATTCTGATGGGAGAACGAGAGGGCACGGATAAGGAATGGATTCAGGCAGCCACATTGTGCTTCAGACTGGGAAAAAGTATTATTTATTTTTTATTTATTTATTGCATTTCTATCCCATCCTTCTCAACCCCCCGAAGGGGGACTCAGGATGGCTTACAATGGGCCCCATTCCAAAGCCATTACATAACAAATTACAGTAATTAAAACCACAATTAAACATAAAAGCATAATTAAAGCCACCATTAAAACAGTAAAACAGTCTCATCAGCCATATCTTCATTCCAGTCACATTCCCTTAAAGTGCTGCTTGCATCTATTCTCCAAAAGCCTGGTCCCAGAACCATGTTTTTAGTTTCTTTCAAAAAGCTAGGAGGGGGGTGGCCAATCTTACCTCAGTTGGGAGTGTGTTCCATAGGCGGGGGGCCACCGCCGAGAAGGCCCTGTCTCTTGTCCCCGCCAGGCGCATTTGTGCTGTTCATGGGAGCGAGAGCAGGGCCTCCCCGGATGATCTTAGGTTTTGAGGTGGGACATAGAGGCGGATGCGTTTGGACAAGTAAGCTGGCCCAGAACCGTAGTCTAGATGCAGAGAATGATAATGTGGTGCATGTTCAAAGTGAGTCTTCTGATGGGATTATTCCTGAAGGGTTTGGGGATGATGGTCTGTTCCCTGAACTGCTACCTGAGGATTCCCAAGGCCTTGAGCCTGAGAAAGGCTCGGTGCTTGGTCCAGTTGCAGAAATTAATGAGCCAGTGGACAGGAGAAGTGTTTTTACTCAGCAAAGAAAAACAAATCAGGCTCTCAGGCGCTCTGCCAGATCACAGCAGGGACTGATAGGAGACTCAAGGTTGAGAAAAAAATCCATTCTTGGCCACTTGGGATATACAGTAGGTTATAGGGATTATAGTGTCAAGTACAGAATCTGTAGCCAGACGAAGCAACATTGGAATTAGGTCAAGATCTCGTCTAAGGTTCCTGGATGCCTTGATTTGGATAGATCCCTGAATTAAGTGACAACTGGGGACCCCAGGTTGAGAACCACTGGTATAGAGCTTTATAAGTCAGAACCAGCACCTTGAATTGGGCTCGGAGGTGGACCGGCAGCCAGTGAAGCTGGCACAACAGGAGGGTGGTATGCTTCCTGTATGCTGCCCCAGTTAGTAGTCTGGCTGCCGACCGTTGGACTAGCTGAAGTTTTTGAATGGTCTTCAAAGGCAGCCCCATGTAGAGTGCGTTGCAGTAATCTATTCGGGATGTAACTAGAGCGTGGACCACCGTGGCCAAGTCACATTTCCCAAGGTACGGGCGCAGCTGGTGAACAAGTTTTAGTTGTGCAAAAGCTCCTCTGGCCACCACTGAGACCTGGGGTTCCAGGCTCAGCGATGAGTCCAGGATCACTCCCAAGCTGCGAACCTCCGTCTTCAGGGGGAGTGTAACCCCAGCCAACACAGGGTGTCACCCTATGCCCTGTTTGGTCTTTCAACTGACCAGTAGGACCTCTGTCTTGTCTGGATACAGTTTCAATTTGTTCGCCCTCATCCAGACCGTCACAGCGGTCAAGCACCAGTTCAAGGTCTAGACAGCCTCCTTTCCCTTCTTGCTCATTATCAGGCTGAGAACTGTCTTCCTTCTCTGAGTCAAACTGCACCTTGCTATTTTCAGTATCAATAATCTCATTCCTTGCTGTGGGAAACTGCACTTCTTCACTGTCTATAACAGGGACATTTTGAACCAGACTGTGAACCTGAGACCCATCATCCTTATCAGAGACTCTCTGTGGTTCCAGCTGAGTCACAACAATCAAGGACTTTTAGATCTTCTGGGGAGGCCCTGCTCTCAGTCCCACCACCATCGCAGTCGCGTTTGGTGGAGAAGAGAGACAGGGCCTTCTCCGTGGTGGCCCTTCGGCTGTGGAACTCCCTCCCTAAAGAGGCTAGATCTGCCTCCTCCCTCCTGACTTTTCACAAGACACTTAAGACTTGGCTGTGGGAGCAAGTGTTCGCAGAATAGATGTTTTTTATGGGCTTAGATGAGATTGTATGGAACGCATTTTTTGGACTGATTTGGAGCACATTTTAAACTTGGCGAACTGTTATTTATTTATTATTTACAGTATTTATATTCCGCCTTTCTCACCCTGCAGGGGACTCAGGGCGGATTACAATATATGGCAAACATTCAATGCCAAAGACACACAACACATATAGACAGAAGGTCAGAGGCTATTTAACTTTTTCTGGCCGCCAGGGGAGCTGTCGCTTTCCATCTGCGGCACTGAGGAAGTACTTCCGCATTCCCCGCATGCTTTGCTGGAGTCTTTTTTATGGCCTCGTAAATTAGTTAAATTAGCCTCCCCACACATAGGTGGTACCTAATTTTCCTACTTGACAGATGCAACTGTCTTTCGGGTTGCAAAGGTCAACAACAAGCTACACAATTGGTCAGAAGCTCACTCCGACCCGGGCTGACTTCGAACTCATGACCTTTTGGTCAGAAGTGATCTTAATGCAGCTGCGCCACAGTCCCAGTGCATTTTTAAATGTATATTTATTATCATTTTATGCAATTGTGTATTTTATTGTTGTTTCTATATTGTTGGAAGCCGCCCTGAGTCCCTCTTCGGAGGTCGAGAATAGGACGGGATACAAATGTGCTAAATAAATAAATAAAAGACTTCTGATTCTGGCAAGACAAATGCAGACTGATGACAAAGTGCACAAAGAAGTAAAATTCGGAGGTGCATGCTGCAAAAGGTAAGCCTGCCCCACTTCCCCATGCATCTTTGTCCTCTCCCCACATGGCCTGAGAGTGATGCCAGGGCTACCTTGTCATTGGCTGTCTGCAGTTGCTTGTGCAACGACATCACATCCTGCTCGAGAGCCTCCTTCTCCTGCTGGGACAGCCTGAGGTCTGACCTGAGCCGGGACATCTGGACATTGACATTCTGCACAGCGTCATCAAAGCTCTGTATCTTAAAAAGTCCAGGGGGAAACAGAAGAGAGATCAATCAAATGCTGATAGGACAAAAGGATGTAGTTGGCTCTCTACTTTGGTGGATTTGACTGTTTACAAATTATTGTAGCATCATAAGAATAGAAATGACCAACACTCCTTTTTCAGCCCGAGATAATACTTCTCTGGGCATCTCTTGGTCCTCCTGTGCAATTTGATGACTGCAAATACAATAAATCCTCCTTAAAATGGCACAGGGGAGGCAGCAGAAAGGAACTTAACAATGCACAGTCTTTAATATCCGCCTGAAGGAGCTGTCTTCATAGACTTGTCAGCAGTCTATGATACTGTGAACCACGGCCTCCTCCTGAGAAAAATGTATAATATCACAAAGGATGACCACCTCACCCGCCTCATAGGAAACCTGCTACAAAACAGGAGCTTTTTTGTTGAGTTCCAGGGCCAGAGAAGCAGATGGCGGAAACAGAAGAACGGCCTGCCTCCGGGAAGCGTGCTTGCTCCATCCATGTTCAACATCTACACAAATGACCAGCCACTGCCAGAAGGGACAGAGAGTTTCATCTATGCTGATGATCGTGCTATTACCGCTCAAGCAGGGAGCTTTGAGATGGTTGAACAGAAGCTCTCCGAAGCTCTAGGTGCTCTTACTGCCTATTACAGGGAAAACCAGCTGATCCCTAATCCATCTAAAACACAGACATGTGCCTTTCACCTTAAGAACAGACAAGCATCCCGAGCTCTGAGGATGACCTGGGAAGGAATCCCACTGGAACATTGCAGCACACCCAAATATCTGGGAGTCACTTTGGACCGTGCTCTTACCTACAAGAAGCACTGCCTGAACATCAAGCAAAAAGTGGGTGCTAGAAACAACATCATACGAAAGCTGACTGGCACAGCCTGGGGATCACAACCAGATACAGTGAAGACATCTGCCCTTGCGCTGTGCTACTCTGCTGCTATGCATGCCCAGTGTGGAACACATCTCACCACACTAAAACAGTGGATGTGGCTCTTAATGAGACATGCCGCATTATCACGGGTGTCTGCGCCCTACACCACTGGAGAAATTACACTGCTTAGCCGGTATCGCACCACCTGACATCCGCCGGGAAGTAGCAGCCAATAGTGAAAGGACCAAGGCAGAGACATCTCCAGCTCATCCCTGTTTGGGTATCAGCCAGCACGTCAACGACTAAAATCTAGAAATAGTTTTCTAAGATCTACAGAGACACTCGCTGGAACACCTCAGCAGGCGAGAGTCCAAAAGTGGCAGGCTCAAACCCAGGACCTCAATCCATGGCTGATACCAAATGAGAGACTCCCCCCTGGGCACACAGAGGACTGGGCGACTTGGAAGGCGCTGAACAGACTGCGCTCTGGCACCACGAGATGCAGAGCCAACCTTCAGAAATGGGGCCACAAAGTGTAATCCTCGATATGCGAGTGCGGAGAGGAGCAAACCACTGACCACCTGCTGCAATGCACCCTGTGCCCTGCCACATGCACAACGGAGGACCTTCTTGCGGCAACACCAGAGGCACTCCAAGGGGACAGATGCTGCTCAAAGGACATTTAATCAACTACCAAACTCACAAATTTTGTATTTTGTCTGTTTGTTTGCTTTGTTATGTTAGAAATGTAATATAATCGACTGGTTGCCCTGGCACGATAAATAAAATAATGTGATCTGCATTGCTGACAGAGGTCCTCCTGGTCAGTCACAAGGCCAAACAGGGTATAGGGTTACAGCCTGTGTTGGATGGGGTTACGTTTCCCTTGAAGGCACAGGTTTGCAGCTTGGGAGTCCTCTTGAGACTTAAGAAGCGAGAGCCACCCACTCACCTTGTCTTGGGAGGCTGCAATCTGGGTCTTCAGTGCCTGGTTCTGGTGCTCCAGAGACGTCTTCTCCTGCTTCAAGGAACTGACGAGGTTCTCCAGGAAGGCTGCTTTGGCCAACTGCAGAGGAAGGAGAGAACCCAGGAAGATAAGGCCTAAGTTTGGAATTTGTGGGCAGCTGCAACAGAGACAATGCCCTGCAGACGCCACTCTACAATTCCCTCCCAATTAATCTCTGACCTGGCACTCCCAAACAGAACTAAGCATTGATACGACTTAAAACATGCAGCTAAAATAGCAAACAGTACAATAAAAATTATAGTTAAAACAACCCAAGCAGTCCAAGGAGTCCCTGCTGATCTGATGGGCTGGGGACTGTATGTTGTCAGAAATTAGAACTGGCTGGAAAATGGGACACAAGTGTTTAAAGCTTGCAAATGCAAGAGTAAACACTAGGTGGTTGAGAAGGGGAGCGAGCACACCATAAAAGCAACTATTTATTTATTTTATTTATTTATGGTATTTATATCCCGTCTCTTCTCTACCCAGAAAGGGGGACTCAGGACGGCTTACATAGGGAGCAATTCGATGCCGTTACACGAACCATTAATACAATAATCATTAAACAAACCATCAAACCATTAAAATAGGCCTGTTTGATCAAGAAAAAATTTGTTTCTAAAATCGATTTGTAATTGGGGTGTTTTTTTGTTTCGATGTTTAAAATAATTACAAAACTTTCCCAAAAAAAGTTTTGGTATTTACGAAATTTTGTAAATATTAACGAATTTTTAGAATATTTTTTGTATTTAAGAATAATATTAAAATAATATTAAAAAATATTTTAAAATTGAAAATTAACCAAAAAATGGCCCAAATGTGGACCAAACACAGGCAGGAGACAGCAAATGAGAGCACACACCCACAGAAGAGTCTTTTCTTTTTTAGAATATTTTTTAAGAATAATTTTTAGAATATTTTTGGTATTTCTTAAGAATAATATTAAAATAATATTAATAAATATTTTAAAATGGAAAATTAACCAAAAAATGGCCCAAATGTGGACCAAACACAGGCAGGATACAGCAAATGAGAGCACACACCAACAGAAGAGTCTTTTCTTTTTTAGAATATTTTTTAAGAATAATATTAAAATAATATTAAAAATAATATTAAAATAATATTAACAATATTTTAAAATGGAAAATTAACCAAAAAATGGCCCAAATGTGGACCAAACACAGGCAGGATACAGCAAATGAGAGCACACACCAACAGAAGAGTCTTTTCTTTTTTAGAATATTTTTTAAGAATAATATTAAAAAATAATATTAAAAAATAATATTAAAAAATAATATTAAAAAATAATATTAAAAATATTTTAAAATGGAAAATTAACCAAAAAATGGCCCAAATGTGGACCAAACACAGGCAAGAGACAGCAAATGAAGCAAGCAGCACTCACAGCAGCAAGGAATGAATCCAATCCCAGTTGCTAGCAGCCAAGCCAACCCAATGCAAACTCCCTCGCCCTCTGCAGCAAGCTACGGGCCGCGCGGAGCCGCTTTGAAAGGGCTCGCCGGCCAATCAAAAACAGACAGCCACGGACCCATGGTGCACTGCTTGGGAGCGCCGGATTGGCTCCCAGGCACCAGCAGCCTGCACCCCAATAACGAAACGGGCGGAAGCTCGTAAAATCTATGGGGTTGCCACCTCGTTATTTTTAAACCCTTCCGGGTTTGAAAAAGTGCTTCAATATCGCTTCGGAAATGCCAAAAATAACGAATTAATAACGAATTAACGAATTAACGAACGAAACCGCACAGGCCTATAAAATACATAAAATACATAAGCCATTAAGTAAACAATATAAAAACATTTGTTACCAAATAGAATCGTATCCTCATGTAAATCGCCTTTCCAATCCATTTCCACTAAAGTGATAATTTATGTCTTCTGACCGAAAGCCTGATCCCATAGCCACAATTTTACTTTCTTCCTGAAAGCCAGGAGGGATGGGATTGATTGTATCTCGCTCGGAAGCGCGTTCCACAGGAACGGGGCCACCACCGAGAAGGTCCTGTCTTTCGTCCCCACCAGCCGCATTTGCGATGTTGGTGGGAGCGAGAGAAGGCCTCCCCGGATGATCTTAAGTTACGAGGTGGGACGTAGAGGCAGATGTGTTCGGACAAGTAAGCTGGGTCAAAACCGTATAGAGCCACAATGGTGGTTGAAAGAGCAAAGCAGAGGTACTTGGCTACAATTTAGATCAGTCAAAACAGCGAATGTCCAAAAATGAGTCACCAAAAAGCAAGGGATGCTTGTACAGCCCTTTATTGTTATCTTGGCAGAGGGTTTAGCAAATGAATTAAGTATTTGATCTCTTATGGGCATGTTTTCGTCCAGCTGGAGAAGGCACACAAGGAGGGAGTTTGCTTGATTTTCTCCTTTTCCTACAATTTTGGAAGGCAGAGGGGGAGCCTCGTGTTTGCAAACTACATATTCTTTTGTGAAGACTTCAGATACTCAAGGCTTTGGTTTCCAATCTCTCCTTTGTTTTGTTTGCAGGGTGAATGGGCATGCCATGCACAGGTCTACAGAGCCTATATCTATCTGTGTATGTGATTTATTTTAATTGCTTGTATGGTTGTTGTTGTTGCTTGTATTGATGTATTGTGGGCTCGGCCTCATGTAAGCCGCACAGAGTCCCTTGGGGAGATGGTAGCGGGGTATAATAAAGTATTATTATTATTATTATTATTATTATTATTATTATTATTAGTAGTAGTAGTAGTAGTATATCAGTCCTGGGTCACCTTGGGTGGAATCCATACTTAGGGACACAATTCGCCACCTGCCATCAAGAGATTCTGATTTCCTATTGGAAACCTTTGCATTGTCGAAGGCTTTCATGGCTGGGATCACTGGGTTGTTGTAGGTTTTTTGGGCTATATGGCCATGTTCTAGAAGCATTCTCTTCTGATGTTTCACCTGCATCTATGGCAAGCATCCTCAGATCTCACAACCTCTGAGGATGCTTGCCATAGATGCAAGTCTTTTTGTGCTATGAAACACTATCTGCATCCATTAAGCAACAGAGCTTCTTTTTTTGCACCAGCAATGTAGGTCAGCCTCAGCATGAAACAGTACCAAACTTTTGAGAAACATAAAGATTAGAAAAGTTATAGTCTTGCTTATCCAACCTTCGCTCATCCAACGTTCTGTATTATCCAATGCAGTCTGCCTCCCGCCCAGCTGTTTCAATACTTTGCAATGATTTGGTGCTAAATTCATAAATATAGTAATTACTACTGTATTTGCAGCGGGATTGTGGCGCAGCTGGCTGAGTGTCAGCTGCATTAAGATCACTCTGACCAAAAGGTCATGAGTTCGAAGCCAGCCCGGGTTGGAGTGGGTTTCCAACCAATTATGTAGCCTGTTGTCGACCTTTGCAACCCGAAAGATAGTTGCATCTGTCAAGTAGGAAAATTAGGTACCACCTTAAAGTGTGGGGAGGCTAAATTAACTAATTTATGAGGCCAAAAAAAAAAAAAAAAGACTCCAGCAAAGCATTCCAGCGGGGAAGCATGTGGGGAATGCAGAAGTACTTCATCAGCGTCGCAGATGGACGATGAAAGCGACAGCTCCCCTGGCGGCCAGAAAAAATTAAATAGCCTCTGTCTATGTCTGTATATGTTTGTATGTCAAAATTAGCATTGAATGTTTGCCATATATGTGTACACTGTAATCCGCCCTGAGTCCCCTGCGGGGTGAGGAGAAGGGCGGAATATAAATGCTGCAAATAAATAAATAAATAAATAATGTTACCATGTATTGAACTGTTTTCTCTGTCGATTTGTTGTCAAACATGATGTTTCGGTGCTTACTTTGTAAAATCAAAATGTATTTTGATGTTTAATAGGCCTTTCCTTAATCCCTCCTTATTATCCAACATTTTCGCTTATCCAATGTTCTGCTGGCCCGTTTATGTTGGAAAAGCGAGAATCTACTGTAACAACCAGTTCAAACTATGATGTCTGAAGCATGAAAGATCCCATATATCTGAATAGCCAAAGTTCCTGAGTGATGCAAACTGTGATAATGATTGGAAGAGCACAAGGGATGTTTCTGCTGGTGAGTAAGGTTTTCCTTTACGCAGCCAGGGATGAAGGTTGCATGTTTACGGTACCTTCCAAAGCCCTCACCTTCTCCACACATCTGTTCAGCTCTTCATTGAGTGCTTCCTTCTCTTTCAGCAACTTCTCATTTTTCACAATGACACTGGAAATCTCGTTTTGGAGGTCAGAGAGATCCGGGCATCTTGGCAACTGTCAAAAGAAACCAGTCTCGATTGTACAAAGGGGAGCCCGTTTGAAATGTAATCAGGCGTGCCTTGGAAAAGAGACAATGTGGTATAGTAACTTGTGCACGGGGTTACAACTCTGGAAACCAGGGTTCAGATTCCTGCTGAGCCATGGAAACATGGGGAAGTCATACTCTCTCAGAGTCAGGGAAAGGCAAAGTCAAACGCTCTCTGAACAAATCTTGCCAAAAGAAATTCAGAATCTGGGCTTGTTAGGGACTCAGACTCCATTTTAGGAACAGTACCGTGTTTCCCCAAAAATAAGGCACTGCCTTATTTTTATTTTTCCTCAAGGAGACACATTATGGCTGGAAGGCTGCTAGGAATTGTGAGAGTTGAAGTCCAAAACACCGTGCCTGACTTATCCTATTTCATGTATATATAGGACATATCATACAGAAAGAGATTCCATCGAAATATAAGGAAAATCTTCCTGAACGTCAGAGCTGTGTAACCAAAGAACCAATGGCAGGGTCTCCTCTAGAAATTTTTAACCAAAAGCTGTATGTGTTGGGGTTCAGCCTCCGTGCGAACCAGAACCTGAACCTGATTCTTTAATTGTATTTCCAGTTCTGGTCATTGATAATCATAGAATCATAGAATCAAAGAGTTGGAAGAGACCTCATGGGCCATCCAGTCCAACCCCCTGCCAAGAAGCAGGAATATTGCATTCAGATCACCCCTGACAAATGGCCATCCAGCCTCTGCTTAAAAGCTTCCAAAGAAGGAGCCTCCACCACACTCCGGGGCAGAGAGTTCCACTGCTGAACGGCTCTCACAGTCAGGAAGTTCTTCCTAATGTTCAGATGGAATCTCCTCTCTTGTAGTTTGAAGCCATTGTTCCGCGTCCTAGTCTCCAAGGAAGCAGAAAACACGCTTGCTCCCTCCTCCTCCCTGTGGCTTCCTCTCACATATTTATACATGGCTATCATATCTCCTCTCAGCCTTCTCTTCTTCAGGCTAAACATGCCCAGCTCCTTAAGCCGCTCCTCATAGGGCTTGTTCTCCAGACCCTTGATCATTTTAGTCGCCCTCCTCTGGACACATTCCAGCTTGTCAATATCTCTCTTGAATTGTGGTGCCCAGAATTGGACACAATATTCCAGATGTGGTCTAACCAAAGCAGAATAGAGCATGGGGAGCATTACTTCATGTATCTTTCCCTGATGGGGTTGAATCTGTTGATTATGAGGCCAGTGGTGGGGAAAGTGAAACTGAACTTCCTGATGAGAATGTTTTGGAATCAAGCAGTGATAGCTCTCCAGAGGGACTCACACCTGGGTTTGCTAATGAGGACCGAAGAGAACAGATTTGGAAAAACAGGAGTGAGTCGCAGTTTCTACGAAGGTCAAATAGATTATGGGAGAGGGAGGCTTCAAAGTCTGGAGGCGTTTCAAGAAATAGTTTCTTTAGTATAAGGGGCCTCTTCCCGGCTGTCTAGCCAGATCAAGCAACGTTTCAGACTGAGGCAGTACCTTGGCAGATTTCCTGTGTTCCATGGCCTGCATTCCCAGAGGTTTCTAGTTTTCAAGTACAGTTAGTGATGCTAAGAGGTTCCTGGTTTCTGCATTGTGTCTTTTGGAATTTTGCTCAAGTTCAGAGTCTTTCTGACTGCTGTGTTTCTACTATGGCATTTTGACTTTGCATTTACCTTTCTTTTGTAACCATTTTTCTTCAATAAAGAGGATTGTTTTTTCCCACAGTCCAGTGTGGTGGATTTAATCTTATGGTCTCGTTTCCTGAACTGGGATGCAACAGTATGGCTGTAGGAAGTTTGGACTTGAAGGCCCTGGAGGTCTCTTCCAACTCCAGGAGGGTATGATTCTGCTATAGTTGTTACTGCTGCTGCTGTTTATAAATCCCAACTATTTCTAGGATGTGACTGCAGACTGAACCTATGGGCTAATCCACATGGCTCCTGTGGACAGCTCCTCAAACATTACTTTTCTCATACGTGCCCTTACCTGCTTTACCTTCTCCAATTCTTCTTTAAGGAAATTGTTCTCCTGCTCCAGAGCTTGGGCTTGAACCCTGAGCTGAGACAGCTCCGTCTCCAAGGATGAGACCAGTGTTGAGGACTAGAAGCAAATCACAGAAAAATAAGTTTGGATACAGGAGAAGATGGGAGAAATCTCTTACAGTTTGACACAAAAAAGGAGGAGGAAGAAAGGAAAACAACAGCAGCAAAGGGAAGTTCTTCCAGAATTAGAGTCTACCACAGGCATGGGCAAACTTCGGCCCTCCAGGTGTTTTGGACTTCAACTCCCACAATTCCTACTGGCTGTTAGGAATTGTGGGAGTTGAAGTCCAAATCACCTAGAAGGCTGAAGTTTGTCCATGCCTTGTCAACAATTTAGGTTAGTTTGGACAATAATCTAGACACACTCTCAAAAGTGCAGGTAAATAGTCCTTATTCCTAGTACAAGATGAGGTTGGGGAGAGCATTAAGTTGCGTAAAGGCACATTGGGAATGTCAGAAGAGGTGAGAACTGAACTCTGTATAACTAAACAACATCCATTGTTTTGTAGCCTGGTCAGATTTGGAGTGCTCAGAAGATGAGGAAGGGAATGCTGGGATAGATTCAGAGGGCCCAGAGGAGGATTGAAATAGCCTGGAGAGACTTGTTTTGGAATCTCCTGGCAGTTCCCATGAGACTGGAGAAAGCAATATAAGTTCTCATGAGAACCTGCCAGAAGTGCCAGCTGAGAAAAATGTGGGGGATAAATGTTTGTCTAAGTCAAGACGATTGGAATTGCAGAGACAGAGCATGCAACAAAGACAGACTTGCTTTTCCCAGAGAATTAGAGATAAGGAAAGGAGAAGCAAGTGTGTGGGCAATGATGTTATGGGAGAGATTGAGGCCTTTTAAGGTAGATCCTGCTGGTATAATTCKTTGTGAGAACAATGTTGYATTCAGGTGAACAACTCTYRGTTTTKGGTCCTATGTTCTTGGAATTCATGTATTCAAGTTTCTGAATTTGTTCTTGCTTCTAGTTCATGTGCCGCATAGGTTGCCTGCCTTGGATTCATGCTATCTTGTTTATGGATATATTTGTGGAGTGGCTCTGRAGACTGTWTTTGAAAGGATTTTGGGATTCTYKGYTATCTTGGAAATAAGCTTTTRAACTCTGATTCTCTTTCATTAATTTGCTATTTTTTTTWWACATATACTCTTCTTTAAATAAAMTTCTACTTACAKGATTATCTGGACAGAGTGTGGTTTGTGGTGAAAAGGTGCTTCAAGGCTCTATCAATTCTTATGAGAGCCTGCCAGAATTGCCAGCTGAGAGAAATGTGGAGGACAAATGTTTATCTAGGTCAAGGCGATTAGAATTGCAGAGACAGAGCATGCAACAAAGACAGACTTGCTTTTCCCAGAGAGTTAGAGATAAGGAAAGGAAAAGCAGGTGTGTGGGCAATGATGTTATGGGAGAGATTGAGGCCTTTTAAGGTGGTTCCTGCTGGTATAATTCCTTTTGAGAGCAATGTTGTATTCAGGTGAAAAACTCTCGGTTTTTGGTCCTATGTTCTTGAATTTCATGTATTTAAGTTTCTGAATTTGTTTTTGCTTCGAGTTCATGTGTCACATAGGTTGCCTGCCTTGGATTCATGCAATTTTGTTTATGGATATATTTGTGGAGTGGCTCTGGAGGCTGTATTTGAAAGGATTTTGGGATTCTTGGCTATCTTGGAAATAACCCTTTGAACTCTGATTCTCTTTCATTAATTTGCCTTTTTATCTATATATACTCTTCTTTAAATAAAATTCTACTTACAGGATTACCTGGACAGAGTGTGGTTTGTGGTGAAAAGGTGCTTCAAGGCTTTAGTGCAACACATATGAGCTTGTAATACCTGGATTTTGTAATTCTCCAGTTCCTCCTTGAGCTGGGAGCGCTCTCTCCCGCCTTCTTCCGGCCCACACTTTCCGGCTTCCTTTTCTCGCGGACGAAACACTTTCCTCAGCTGCTGATTCAGGTCTTGGGTGTCCGCCTGATGCGGGGAGCTTCGGCGGCTAAGTTTGGCATTTTCCACTTCTAGCTGATGGTTCCTCGCTCTTAGTTCTGATGCCTGTTTGGAGATTAGGAGTCCAGACAAAACCCATGAACATGATGCGTTAGGACTTCTAACTGGAAGAAGAAGTTCCCTACCTTTGGGGAGTAAGGAAACTCTTTTAATGTCTCTCCTTTGGAATTATTTCACACAAAGACATGCAACACAGAAATGGTGGTTGTCTCGAAGCACAAGTAAATATCTTAGTAAATTATGTTCTCACAAGCAAAGATTGAAGACTGTGAGCAAAACTGCTGTTGAGCAAGGTTGCTGAAAACAATGCAGTTTAAAAAACTATTCACAGCTCATTATATATCATGTTGTTTCTGAGTTATATGAAGTATTATTATTATTATGTTATAAGGCAGTAGTTCTCAACCTGTGGGTCCTACGTGTTTTGTTCTACAACTCCCAGAAATGCCAGCCAGTGTACCAGCTGTTAGGATTTCTGGGAATTGAAAGCCAAAACATCTGGGGACCCACAGCTTAAGAACCACTGTCCTAAGGCATGTTCCCTCTGTGTTATATGAAATCTCCAACAACAACAACAGATCACATTCTCAGCTGCTGCAAGAAGATTGCGCAGACAGACTGCAAGCAGAGGCATAACACCGTTGCTCAGATGATCCATTGGAATTTGTGCCACAAACATCATTTGCCTGTAACAAAGAACTGGTGGGATCACAAGGCTGAAAAAGTTACAGAAAATGAACACGTCAAACACCTCTGGAACGTCCGAATTCAGAAAGACAGAGTTTTGGAGCACAATACCCCTCACCTCACAATCGTGTAAAAAAACTAAGTATGGATCGTCAATGTTGCAATCCCAGGAGACAGCAGAATTGAAGAGAAACAACTGGAAAAGCTGACCCGATACGAGGATTTATAGATCAAATTGCAAAGACTCTGGCACAAACCAGTCAAGGTGGTCCCAGTGGTGATTGGCACACTAGATGCAGTGCCTAAAGACCTTGGCCTGCACTTAAACACAATGGGCACTGACAATCGGCAATTACAAAAGGTAAGCTGCAAAAGGCCACCTTACTGGGATCTGTATGCATTATTCGTCAATACATCACAGTCCTAGACACTTGGGAAGTGTCCGACGTGTGATCCAATACAACAGCCAGCAGAGTGTCTGCTGTGGACTCATCTTGTTGTGTTTCAACTAACAACAACAACAACAACAACAACAATTTCTAAAGCATGTTTCCTCTGTGTTATATTAAGTTTCTAATAATATCTGCTGAAAGTTGCCTATAGAGCAAGCATGGGCAAACTTGGGCCCCACTGTTAGGAATTGTGGGAGTTGAAGTCCAAAACACCTGGAGGGTCAAAGTTTGACCTTCATCTAGGAAACAACCTGAGATAACCTTGGAAGGAGCAGCTAGAGGGAATGTGATTGCATTCCCGGCCTTCTACGACTCAGCAGCTGTTGAATAAGCGTTCGCACACAATGCTCTGTCCGAGCAAAAAGGTGGTGCTGCGCACAATACTTTGGCAACCACGAGCTGCTGGGAAAGCTCACCTCGCAGGAAGGGGGCTTACCTGCTTCTTAAAGTTTTCAGCCATCTTCTGCATGGCCGCTTTCTCCTTCTGTACAGTCCCAATCTTATGCCTAAAAGACACACAGCAGACAAAATGGGCCTCCTTTGAATTAAAATATGTATGTAATTTTTAAATCACTTTTCTGTAAAAATGGCAAAGTTAGTTCACATGCCAATTCTAAAAAAAACCCCACAATTCAAAATTTATGACATAACTGTTGGAAATAGCAACCATCTCAAGCCTCTCAAGTTATTCGTTATGTTTATAATTCACACAATAGGCGGTTGGAGATTAGCCAGGATCGACAGCAAACTCTGTGTTTACGTTGCTCCAAAAGGCTTTGTCTGATAAGGGGGAAATGTGGGGGGAAGTGAAACCAATTTCTGAGTTTTGGGATATAAAGTTTGCCTCAAGGGGAAACCTGTTAGATCAGGCAACATTTGGAAACCAAGTTCATGTGCCATGGAAATCCTGTTCAATTGGTCTTGTTCCTGTAGAGTTTTTTTTTACAATTTTTTGGATTGTCTTTGCATCTTGTTTGATTCCTGTCAGGATTACTGCTGTCTTGGACTTCTTTTATTATTTGTGTTGACATTGCTTTGTGTTATTGCTTTTTATGGACTTATTACTTTCTGGAACCTTATTTTCTTACAAGCATTTATTTCTTCTGGCTATTACTAAGCTTCAATAAAAGAAGATTTGTTTTTTCACTCTTCATGTGGTGTGTTTTAAAGTCAGAGGGCTTCTTCCTGACCTAGAGTGCAACAGAGAGTCTGATTTTCCCAAAAGGTTATGAGGAATGCCATTTTCCAAAAGGTATGGGGATTTCCATTTCCCAAAAGGTTATGGCACAATATTTCCAAAAGGTTATGATTTCTAACAAGGTCATGCCTTTCATGTCATATTTCTCCAAAAGACACAACACACAAATCACACTGTGTTTTCCCTATGTATAGTTGATAAAGACCTACCAGAGTTCTTCTTGAGACCCATTGAGCTCCCTCAGCCGTAGGTTGGAAACACTCCCTTCCTCGTTTAACAAACCGATTTCATTCTTCAAAGCAGTGTTTTCTTCTCTGAGGCGCTCAGCTTCACATCTGGGTGCAAAACACAGAGACCTTAAGATACTCAAACACAGAGCCTTTCGGATACTCAAACACCCTTCAGGTTGGCTCCATGAGTCAAGGGACACTTCACTTCTGATATGGCCGCAACATTTTCCCAACGTTGAGAGAATCATTCCTATCATGCTGTCGTCTTACCTAACAAGAATTTCTGGGATGAATTTTCCAATATTAACACATCTAGGGTAGGCCTACTGGACTGCTGGAGATCTAGATAAGTGCTTTGACAAGTGGTTGTTGTTATTGTTGTTATTATTATTTGAAACACAACAAGATGAATCCACAGCAGGCACTCTGCTGGTTCATAGAATCATAGAATCAAAGAGTTGGAAGAGACCTCATGGGCCATCCAGTCCAACCCCATTCTGCCAAGAAGCAGGGATATTGCATTCAAATCACCCCTGACAGATGGCCATCCAGCCTCTGTTTAAAAGCTTCCAAAGAAGGAGCCTCCACCACACTCCAGGGCAGAGAGTTCCACTGCTGAATGCTCTCACAGTCAGGAAGTTCTTCCTCATGTTCAGATGGAATCTCCTCTCTTGTAGTTTGAAGCCATTGTTCCACGTCCTAGTCTCCAGGGCAGCAGAAAACAAGCTTGCTCCCTCCTCCCTATGGCTTCCTCTCACATATTTATACATGGCTATCATATCTCCTCTCAGCCTTCTCTTCTTCAGGCTAAACATGCCCAGCTCCTTAAGCCGCTCCTCATAGGGCTTGTTCTCCAGACCCTTGATCATTTTAGTCGCCCCGTTGTTGTATTGGATCACACGTCGGACACTTCCCAAGTGTCTAGGACTGTGTGATGTATCGGCGAATAATGTGTGCAGATCCCAGTAAGGTGGCCTTCTGCAGCTGGCAGATGGTAATTTTGTCAGCGCCGATTGTGTTTAAGTGCAGGCCAAGGTCTTTAGGCACTGCACCTAGTGTGCCGATCACCACTGGGACCACCTTGACTGGTTTGTGCCAGAGTCTTTGCAGTTCAATCTTTAAATCATTATTATTATTATTATTATTATTATTATTATTATTATTATTATTATTATTATTATATAAATGCGCAATTCCAGAGGTTAGCCAGAAGAGATAAGGAACTATTTTTAAATAAGCAATGCATGGAAGTGGAAGAAGACAACAGAATAGGAAGGACAAGAGACCTCTTCCAGAAAATTAGAAACATTGGAGTTAAATTTCAGGCAAAAATTGGTATGATAAGAAACAAAGATGGCAGGGACCTAACAGAAGCTGAAGAGATCAAGAGAAGGTGGCGAGACTATACAGAAGAACTGTATAGGAAGGATAATAATATTGAGGATAGTTTTGACGGTGTGGTGAATGAATTAGAACCAGACATCCTGAGGAGTGAGGTTGAATGGGCCTTAAGAAGCATTGCTAACAACAAGGCAGCAGGAGACGACGGGATCCCAGCTGAACTGTTTAAAATCTTGAAAGATGATGCTGTCAAGGTGATGCATGCCATATGCCAGCAAATATGGAAAACACAAGAATGGCCATCAGACTGGAAAAAATCAACTTATATTCCCATACCAAAAAGGGAAATGCGAAAGACTGCTCAAACTTCCGTACAGTGGCCCTTATTTCTCATGCCAGTAAGGTAATGCTCAAGATCCTGCAAGGAAGACTCCAGCAATACATGGAGCGAGAGTTGCCAGATGTTCAAGCTGGGTTTAGAAAAGGGAGAGGAACGAGAGACCAGATTGCCAATATCCGCTGGATAATGGAGAAAGGCAGGGAGTTTCAGAAAAACATCTACTTCTGCTTCATTGACTATTCTAAAGCCTTTGACTGTGTGGATCATAATAAATTGTGGAAAGTTCTTAGTGGGATGGGCACCCCAAGCCACCTTCCCTCTCTCCTGAGGAATCTGTACAAGGACCAAGGAGCAGGAGTCAGAACTGACCACGGAACAACAGACTGGTTCAAGATTGGGAAAGGCGTACGGCAAGGCTGCATCCTCTCACCCAACCTTTTTAACTTGTATGCAGAACACATCATGCGATGTGCGGGGCTTGATGAATGCAAAGCTGGGGTGAAAATTGCTGGAAGAAACATTAACAACCTCAGATATGCAGATGACATCACCCTGATGGCCGAAAGCGAGGAGGAGCTGAGGAGCCTTCTAATCAAGGTGAAAGAAGAAAGCGCAAAAGCCGGGTTGCAGCTAAACGTCAAAAAAACCAAGATTATGGCAACAAGAATGATTGACAACTGGAAAATAGAGGGAGAAACCGTGGAGGCCGTGACAGACTGTGTATTTCTAGGTGCAAAGATTACTGCAGATGCAGACTGTAGCCAGGAAATCAGAAGACGCTTACTTCTTGGGAGGAGAGCAATGTCCAGTCGCGATAAAATAGTGAAGAGTAGAGACATCAGACTGGCAACAAAGATCCGCATAGTCAAAGCCATGGTATTCCCTGTAGTAACCTATGGATGTGAGAGCTGGACCTTAGGGAAGGCTGAGCGAAGGAAGATCGATGCTTTTGAGCTGTGGTGTTGGAGGAAAGTTCTGAGAGTGCCTTGGACTGCGAGAAGATCCAACCAGTCCATCCTCCAGGAAATAAAGCCCGACTGCTCACTGGAGGGAAGGATACTAGAGACAAAGTTGAAGTACTTTGGCCACATCATGAGGAGACAGCAAAGCCTAGAGAAGACAATTATGCTGGGGAAAGTGGAAGGCAAAAGGAAGAGGGGCCGACCAAGGGCAAGATGGATGGATGGCATCCTAGAAGTGACTGGACTGACCTTGAGGGAGCTGGGGGTGGTAACGGCCGACAGGGAGCTCTGGCGTGGGCTGGTCCATGAGGTCACGAAGAGTCGGAGACGACTGAACGAATGAACAACAACATTATTATTATTATTATTATTATTATTATTATTATTATTATTATTATTATTGGTTGTTGTGCTTCTTCTTCTTCTTGTTGTTATTGGACTATAACTCCCCATAACCATACTGGATCAGATTGTTGTCTAAAATAATAACTCTGTCAAGCTCTAATCCTCTGCCTCATGAAAACCTTATGATGGGTCCAGCTTGGGATCGCCATAAGCTGTAAGTGATTGGATGGCCCACTACAACAACAAAAACAACAACAACAACAACAACAACAACAACTGTCAACTGCATCTCCTAGAACCCATGGCTTGGCATTGTTGGAGAAAATTAGAAGGACTTCTTTCGTCAAAGCCCACCTGGCAGGAAACAAAGGCTCCAATTCTATGCCAACATCATTCAGAATTTCCCCAGAGTAGAAGGACTGAACATTAGTTCATCTGTTGAACAGAATTAGATGCTTGGGATCTTGCTAAATATAATTAGACAGAAATAAATATTGCTATATGACCAGTTGAAATAACACAGTCAGCTCTCCACATCTGTGGGTTTCACTTTTGGGGATTTGATTAAAATTGGGTTGCTGTGTGCTTTCCGGGCATGTTCCAGAAGCATTTTCTCCTGACGTTTTGCCTATAACTATGGCAGGCATTCTCAGAGATTGTGAGGCCTGTTGGAAACTAGGCAAGTGGGGTTTATATAACTGTGGAATGCTTAATCGAGGTGGCCAATTGCAACATTCACACCTGCCTCAAACAGACAAGAGTTCTTTCTCCCACCCTGGACATCATTCTGGCCATGAAAGCCTTCGACAACACTTTGATTAAAATGTTCTTTCTAGGAATGTCTAGATTCTTCAATGAAACTTCAGCTGGAAATTGATAATAAAAGGTTGTTGTAGGTTTTTTGGGCTGTATGGCCATGTTCTAGAAGCATTCTCTCCTGACGTTTCACCTGCATCTATGGCAGGCATCCTCAGAGGTTGTGAGGTCTCACAACCTCTTATGATGCCTGCCATACATGCAGGTGAAATGTCAGGGGAGAATGCTTCTAGAACAGTAGCTCTCAACCTGTGGGTCCCCAGGTGTTTTGGCCTACATCTCCCAAAAATCCCAGTCAGTTTACCAGCTGTTAGGATTTCTGGGAGTTGAAGGCCAAAACATCTGGGGACCCACAGGTTGAGAACCACTGTTCTAGAACATTGCCATACAGCCCAAAAAACCTACAACAACCCAGTGATTCCAGCCATGAAAGCCTTTGACAATACATTGATCATAAAAGTCAAATTGTAGAACCTAGAGATTTCCAGAAAAGAGACTTCTCTTGGAAACTCAAGGTCCTTCAGGATGATTCTATGGTCAACTTCCAGTGGAAGTCACACTGGAAGACCTAGAGTGTCAGGAGTCAATTTCTGACGGCATGAAGACATCACAAATTCCCTCCGTGACATCCTGACTGAATCATCCTGGCTGCCTCAATTTTCTCTTTGTGACATTTTGAAGCCAGCAGAAAGCGCTGGAAACCTTGTATTGGAACTTGTGAAGCAACAAGCTGTAATAAGGAAACTGAGAAGAGGGGGGAGATGGGCAGGAAAGGTGTATAAAAGGAAGTGGTGGTGGGGAAAAGCCAGTAGTGTCTTTCTTTGCTGCAGAAATACAAGCAATATATTCATTTCAAAGCAAGACCGGCTTATGAGTGGTCATTTAATATTGCTATATAAAACCTACAGTCTTACATAGAGATTCCTAGAGTGGTGTTCTCTCTGAGAAAACAATTTTTGATTTATGGTTTTTCCCTTTTGTGGGGATTCTATGGATGTGGAGGGCTGATTGTAATCATTAAAAACAAGAGAAAACAAGATTGTAATAATTAAAAACAAGAGAAAAGAAGATTGGGACAGGAAAGTGATACAGTGGTAGACAAAGTACAGAATCAAACTAAGCTTCACATCAGTCAAGTTTGATGCGCACTAGATGTCAGACAACTCAAACAAACAACAACCTTGGGTTAGAATGGTGAGACAAGCAAAAACCACCCAGCCAGCCCCTGTCTCCCCAGACCCAGTGTGATCCATAGCTATTGCTTCTTGTTAGGTGCCAGAAGGCTTTGTCCCTTTATCCAAGGCTAATCTATTTGTTAATACAAGAAGAGTGAAGAAGTAACAGGAGAAGTGGTTATAAGGCGGCCAGTGAGGCGGTAGTTGGTTAGTGTTGAGAAAAGCAGAGCAGAGCGTTAGGCTGTGGCCGGGTGCGGCGTTACCTGAAGAACTCCAGCTTCTGCCGCTGCTGAGCGCAGGTGCTCTGCAAGTCAAGGAGGACTGCCTTCAGGTCTTCCCGCTCCTGCCCGTGGGTGCCGTTCTGCTTCAGCAGGGTGGCCACTTTCTCCCTCAGCTTCTTGTTGAGTTCCTGGAGGCCCTTCTTCTCCGCTTCCACCTCTTTGGCAGCGCTCTCACAACGGCTGTGCCGGCCACCCTTCAGGGCCTTCAGGTTGGCCACCAGCTCCTCCATCTTCCCCAGCTTGCTTTGCAAGACCAGGTTGGCGCTTTGAAGCTCAGCATTGTCCAGCACCAGCTGGTCACGGACCTCCTCCAGTTTCCGGACTTCCTCCAGCCGTTGGGCTTTTTCCTCCTTCAGATTGAGGGCTTCTTGATCAACTTCATCCAACTGGCACTGCAAGCTGATGAGTTTTGGTAGGTATCCCTCCAGTTTATTGTTCCGCTCAAGTAGTTTGACCATCTCCGCTTTCAGGGCCTTGTTTTCCATCTTGAGTTCTTCTGGTAACATTAGAGCTTTGGGCTGCAATCTGGAACAGGCCTGCCTCTCGGCGTCCACATCCCAAAGCTCAGGCACCAAGTAGTTCAGCTCTCCCTTCTCCCTTCTATGGTTCATCTCAAGCTGCAGAGATCCAGCACTCATCTCCTCCACATTTGATTCTGTCTCCAAGATTTCAGGAAAGAGACTATTGCTTCCCGTTGTAGAGTCTGCATGCAACATCTCAACATCAACCATCTCCCAGGGAAATCTTTCCTCACAGTCATCTCTTCCACAAGGCATAGAGTTCGGCTTAGGAATGGTCTTCAGGATCTCATCTAGTTCCTTCTGGACCTGGGAAGCCATGTCCTGCCGGTCATGAGCCATTCGGTCACACTCAGCCTCCAGGAGGTCGATCCTCTCTTCGAGGAGAGCCTGCTGAGCTTTGAGGGCTTGGTTCTCCACTATCAATTCTTCATAGGCCTTCTCCAAGGCAAGAGAAGTCTCCATGCTTTCTTCAAACATGGTCCCATCAGTTGCCAACACGAAGCATGTATTCCCATCTGGTTTTTTAATCCCACCTTCTGTTTTTATTTGGTTGTCTTCTCCATCTGTTACATTTAGGAGATGAGAGTCAACGGATGGGTCTGGAACCAAAGGCATGAAACCAAGGGAGTTGGTTAGTTCTCTCTCTGGCTCTTCTGGTAACTTATCCATCAAACAAAGTGTTGCCACATCACTTTCTCCTGATGGCTCTTGCAACTCTTCCTGGTTTGATAGAAGATCTGTTATTTCTTTGGGCTCCTGAGATATGTCAGACCATGGGGAATCACCACCTGGAGGTCCTGCTTCTTTGTCTGGAAAGCCCAAATTGCTTTGCAGTCTTGGGTGCTGCTGCAATTCATTCTGGAGTTCTTGAATTTTACTTTCAAGTGTTGATATCTTTGATCTCAGTTTTTCTTGATCTTCTGCTGCTCTGCTGAGCGCCTCTTGCTTCAAATGCTCCAAAGCCACCAACCTGGAGTTCAGCTCATTTTTCTCACGTGCAAACTCCGCCTCCAGTTTTTCAAGCTTTTGGAGAACCTGCTTCCGATCTTCCTCAACGGCAGACGTTTCCTCTTCTCTTCTCTTCCATTCCTGCTCATGCTTGGCTTGAGTTTGCAAGAGTCTCTCCCGCAGTTCATCTTCTTGCTTCTTCGTGTCCTGCAGCTCTTTCTGAAGCTGCTCTTTCTCCAACACCAGCGAGTTCACACTCTCCTTGAACTTCTTCTCCAGGAGGTCCTTCTCCTCGGCAAGTGCTGAAGCCACAGACCTTTCTCCCTCCAGGATGGCTTTCCACTTCTCTCGGGCCTCGGCCCCGTCCTGGACAATTTCGTCTTTTTCAAATTCCCACTGGGATTTCTCCTCACACTGCAGCTTGGAGAGCTCCCGCATCTCTCGCTGGTAGCGTCCCTCGAGTCCTTCGATGGCTTCCCCGTACTTGCTGGCAAGCGCCTGCCGGTCGACGGCAAACTGCTCCTCTTTCAAAGACATTCTTCCATTAAACTCACCTTCCATTTGCACCCTAAATGTGGTCAACATAACACATTACTCAAATCTGTACGAACTCCGGGATAGCAAAATGCAGGTCACTTAACACACTAGTCCTTTGCCTTTTTATGGACTAGTTTTGGCCTCAAACTATATCATGGGACCTCGAGGTTATGTTATTTATTTATTTATTTTATTTCGGGTACTTCTACCCCGCCCTTCTCAACCCCCGAGGGAGGACTCAGGGCGGCTTACAAAAAGGCACAATCCGATGCCTATACAAATTACACATAATGTACAAAACCATCGTTAAAACCATTATCAGAGTTAAAACAATCAAAACAATCAGTATATAACACATATAAGAACTATTCACATGCTCAGCGTTCGTCTTTCAGAGTTCCATAATTCTATTCCATTAGTCATTTCCTGCCCATTGTCAAGTCCTTTCTTTATCTGCCCAATTGTCTGAATGCCTGGTCCCAAATCCATGTTTTCAGTTTTTTTCCTAAAGGAAAGGAGTGATGTTGCTGATCTAATTTCCCCAGGGAGTGAATTCCACAGATGGGGGGCCACCACTGAGAAGGCCCTGCTCCTCGTCCCCGCCAACCTCACTTGTGACAGAGGCGGGCTCGAGAGCAGGGCCTCCCCATAAGATCTTAGACTCCGGGGTGGGACGTAGAGGGAGATCCGTTCGGACAGATACACTGGGCCGGAGCCGTATAGGTTTTTGTAGGTCAAAACCAGCACTTTGAATTGTGCTCGGAACTGGATCAGCAGCCAGTGGAGCTGACACAACAGGGGGGTGGCATGCTCCCTGTATGACGCTCCGGTGAGCAGTCTGGCTGCCTCCCGCTGGACTAGTTGGAGTTTCCGAACAGTCTTCAAAGGCAACCCCACGTAGAGTGTGTTGCAGTAATCTATTCGGGATGTAACAAGAGCGTGGACCACCATGGAAAGATCCGACTTCCCAAGGTACGGGCGCACTGGCACACAAGTTTTAATTGCGCAAAAGCTCTCCCGGCCACCGCTGAGACCTGGGCTTCCAGGCTCAGCGATGAGTCCAGGATCACTCCCAAGCTGCGAACCTGCGTCTTCAGGGGGAGTGGAACCCCGTCCAACACAGGCTGTAACCCTATGCCCTGGTCGGCCTTATGACTGCCGTGCAATAGCTCCCAACACATGCACACATAGTTAAGAGGCATACTGTGGGCTCTCTTAGAATAGAATCATAGAATCATACATAGAATCATAGAATCATAGAGTTGGAAGAGACCTCCTGGGCCATCCAGTCCAACCCCATTCTGCCAAGAAGCAGGAAAATTGCATTCAAAGCACCCCTGACAGATGGCCATCCAGCCTCTGCTTAAAAGACTCTGAATAAGGAGCCTCCACCACACTCCGGGGCAGAGAGTTCCACTGCTGAACAGCTCTCACAGTTGGAAAGTTCTTCCTAATGTTCAGGTGGGATCTCTTGTAGTTTGAAGCCATTGTTTATTTTTTTACAATATTAATATTCCACCCTTCTCACCTTGCATATATATGGCAAATATTCAATGCCATAGACACACAAAATATATAGACAGACACACAGAGGCTTTTCATGAGGGTATTCTGGCCTCATGGGGAGCTGTTGCTTCACTGTCCATTTGTGACATTGATAAAGTACTTCCTCATTCTCTGCACGCTTGCTGGAGAATTTTATGGCCTCATAAATTAGTTTAATTAGCCTCCCCGCATAAGCGGTACCTAAATTTTCTACTTGACAGATGCAACTGTCTTTCGGGCTACAAAGGTCGACAGCAAGCTACACAATTTGGTCGGAAGCTCACTCTGACCCAGGCTGGCTTCACACTCATGACCTTTCGGTCAGTAGCAATCTTAATGCAGCTGACTCTCAGCCAGCTGTGCCACAGTCCCGATGCTAGTTCCGTGTCCTAGTCTCCTTAATGTGTGTAGATATAGGTTTCCCCTTGACATTAAGTCTAGTTGTGTCCAACTCTCGGGAGGGGTGGTGGTGGTGCTCATCTCCATTGCTAAGCCAAAGAGCCGGCGTTGTCCTTAGACATCGCCACGGTCATGTTTTCGAACTGCTAGTTTGGCAGAAGCTGGAGCTAATAGCAGGAGCTCACCTCGCTCCCCGAATTCAAACTGCTGATCTTTTGGTCAGCAAGTTCAGCAGCTCAGCACCTAAGCAGGTAGGCTGTTAGGAATTGTGAGAGTTGAAGTCCAAAACACCTGGAGGGCCCAAGTTAGCCCATCCCTGCTTTTAACAGGAATTGGATGGACATCTCTCTGGAATGCTTTAGCTGTGTATTCTTGCAAGGCAGAATGGAACTGGAGTGGATGGCCCTTGCGGTACCTTATAATGCTGAGTTGGAAGAGCCAATTCCATTCTGCCATACAGAAGGACACCATTGAAGCCCTCCCTACAGATGGCCATCCAGCTTCTGTTTGAAAACTTCAAGGGAACGAGACTCCGCCGCGCTCCCAGGCGGCATATTCCACTCTTACCCAATTCCATTCTGCCATACGGAAGGGCACCATTGAAGCCCTCCCTACAGATGGCCATCCAGCTTCTGTTTGAAAACCTCAAGGGAACGAGACTCCGCCGCGCTCCCAAGTGGCGTATTCCACTCTTACCCAATTCCATTCTGTCATACAGAAGGGCACCATTGAAGCCCTCCCTACAGATGGCCATCCAGCTTCTGTTTGAAAACTTCATGGGAATGAGACTGCCATGCTCCCCAGGCAGTATATTCCACTCTTATCCAATTCCATTCTGCCATACGGAAGGACACCATTGAAGCCCTCCCTACAGATGGCCATCCAGCTTCTGTCTGAAAACTTCAAGGGAATGAGACTCAATATATTCCACTCAATGTCTTATATTTTCTCTCTGAGTTAATAAAACAATATGTGCCCTTTTCTCCTTCCCAGGTGTGGCACTATGCTCTCCAAGGCTGTTAGGAATTGTGGGAGATGAAGTCCAAAACCCCTGGAGGGCCCAAGTTTGCCCATGTCTGATGTCAAGGGATAAATGGAGCTAGCGATTGACTCATCACCCTCACTACCACCCACCTCGCTTTGCATCGCCACGACCGGCAAACGCTCACCTTTGCTCCTGCAGCTCCTGCTGGTGCTTCTCCCTCAGCCCTTGCTCCAGTTGCTCTTTTTCCAGGGCGTGATTCTCCAGCAGCTGTTGCAGCTGCTCCTGGAAACCATTTTCCAGCTCCGCTTTCTCCTTCCGGGCGCTCTCTGCGAAACTCCTCATCTTCTCTTCCAGCCAAGCTCTTGCCTGGAGCAATTCTTCCCGCTCGCGGCGAAAGCTCTCCTGGACCTCTTCCAGCTGGGCCTGCAGCTCCTTCTCACACTGGCCGTCCTCCTCCTCCTCTAAGCACGCTTTCTCCAGACTCCGTTGGGATTCCGCCTGCTGCTCGACTCTTGCTAATTCTCCCTGGAGCTCCCCGACCTGGCACTGCAGGCGCCCCACTTCCTGCTCCAGGCTCTGCCTCTCCTCGCTGAAGCTACACCGGAGGTCTCCACACTCTTGGTCACAGAGGGCTTTGGTGTCCTCAAGCTGCTTCTCATAATGGTTTATCTGGGACAGAGATGGAAGAAAGGAAGACACAGCATCACTAACTGCCACTTCCACAAAAGCTGTGGAAGTGGACGATGCAGAGAACTCATGCCAACCATTACTATTTGAAGGACTTATCTTCCTTGATGAACCCCTCAGAGCTTATTTTGCATCTTCATCACTATGATACGTCACCTTGTTGATGGGAAGCTTTCCACCAGAGTGGAAATCATCTATCGGACAGATCGCATGCTATTTAACCTCAGCAGACTGAAAGCCAAAACCAAGGTTACAACAACATCTGTTATAGAACTCCAGTATGCTGATGACAATGTCATCTGTGCACATTCAGAAGAAGATCTACAAGGCACTCTAAAAACCTTCGCAGAAGCATGTCGTCTGTATGCATTCAGAAGAAGACCTACAAGGCACTCTAAACACCTTCGCAGAAGCATATGAGAAGCTCAGCCTGTCATTGAACATCGAGAAAACCAAAGTGCTCTTCATTAGAAACATTAGAAAATGTTGACCATTTCTGCTCCCTTGGCAGCCACCTCTCCACAAAAGTCAACATTGACACTGAAATACAACACTGCCTGAGTTCTGCGAGTGCAGCATTTTCCCGAATGAAGCAGAGAGTGTTTGAGGACCGGGAAATTTGCAGGGAGACCAAGGGGCTTGTTTACATAGCTATTATCCTCCCAACCCTGCTATATGCCTGCGAAACGTGGACTGTCTACAGATGTCACATGCAACTCCTGGAACGATTCCATCAGGGTTGCCTCTAGAAAATCCTGCAAATCTCTTGGGAAGACAAGCGGACAAATGTCAGCGTGCTGGAAGAAGCAAAGACCACCAGCACTGAAGCAATGCTCCTCCGTCATCAACTCTGCTGGACCAGCCACGTTGTCCAGATGCCCGACCACAATCTCCCAAAGCAGTTGCTCTACTCCGAACTCAAGAATGGAAAACGTATTATTTTCTTTTTTGAGTGTTTTGGCCAGCATGAATATAACTGAAAAGCTTTACAGCTTCAGTGGCTGCTTCTCATTACTTTCCATACTACCTTGCACCTTAACAGCCTGGCTTCTACTAGCCAGCAGGAAACTTTTGGTGGGAGGAGTTCCCTAGCACAGATTGCTTCATGTCTGCAAATCCTCTGTTTTCTGAGGGCCACAGCAACGCGTGGCCGGGTACAGCTAGTAATAAATACTAAATAATCAGGCAGCCATTTCCTATATGACAGTTGGCAGCGCTTCCGACCTCTGACAGAGACCAGCACCATGTGGGTTTCCAGGCCAAAATGGGAGCAGCTTACTGTGTTTTCAAGCTCCTGCTGTAAGTTGTGGAGGTCCCGGTAGTGCTGATCTTTCATTTGCTCAATCACCATTTCGGCTTCGATGCTCATGTTCAGCGGGTTGCATTCCTCAGAAGCTGGCTCTAGAATTCAAGGCAGAAGAGAAACAGACATTGTTGTGGGATTTGCCAAAGGTTTTGCCAAAAACGTGATGTGCTGGCAAACAAAACCCATGCTTCTTGATGCCCAAAGGACTGGGCCTGCTGACACAGGGAAGAGTGGGTCTCCAATGCTCCTCCATTAGTCTTAATTCCACTTGGAATGAAAGTGGAGGCTCTACTCTAAATGTATTCTGATCTGTCTTCTTTTGCTGACACCGCCCCACCTTCACAGTCTATTTGCCTCCCAAATCTATCCCAAATCCTGCTATATATTCAAGAGCCTGGCTCTCCCTGCCAACCCTGCCAAGTAGTTCCAACTACCACTTCACTCCAAGCAAGACTTCCAATAAATGACTACAGCAGGGGTCCTCAAACTAAGGCCCGGGGGCCGAATACGCACCTTGCCAACATACGTGAAACTCGAGGTCAACGTAATGCTTTCGTGTTGGGGAAACATATTTAATGATCCAAGTTTGTCCGTTGTCAGTGCAATGTTGCTTATACCATTAACTTCTCTGAAATTACCTCGGCTTTTGGGGAAAACTTCTAGCTCTTTGGGACTTTGGTTTTGCTCCTGATTTCTTGGGGACTTTGTCATGCTGCCATGGATTCTTGTTTAACCAATGCTAAAGGAGTATACTTTCATGTAATTTGCATCTGGATCTTGGGAACTTTGCCTATGCATTTAAGACTCTGTTTTGGCTATTGAACGTTTGCAACTTTGCTGCTATGTTTTTGATTTTGCTTTTTCTTCAATAAACTACAAAACCTACAGCCTTGGTGTGTGGTGGTGTCTTAAGTAAGGTGAATCCATCCTGAGTTGCGACACTGTCGACCTTTGTAGCCCGAAAGATGGTTGCATCTGTCAAGTAGGAAATTTAGGTACCGCCTATGCAGGGAGGCTAATTTAACTAATTTACGATGTCATAAAAATCTCCAGCAAGCTTGCAAAGAATGAGGAAGTACTTCATCAGTGTCACAAACGGACTGTGAAGCAACAGCTCCCCTGGGGCAAGAATACCCTCATGAAAAGTTAAATTGCCTCTGTGTCTGTCTATATATGTTGTGTGCCTATGGCATTGAATGTTTTCCATAACTACAAACCCCAGAATTCTGCAGGAGGCAGAAACTGGATTTAAAGTGGATTCATTCTCTAGTGTCATGACTCTGTACTAGATGCACAGAGTCATGACCACTTCTGTACTCCAAAGGGCTAGTAGACCAAGCCTAGGCCTCTGACCCCAAATAGAGGAACTCTCCAGGCTTCATTACCTTGACCACACTCAACTCCGCCATCGTCCAGCTCCTGGTAAAGGGAGTTTTGCAGGGAAGGCCGGACAACTCTGCCTTGAGCCTGATATTCTTCTAGCTGAGACTGAAGCTCGTCGATCTGGTCTTGGAATTCCTGGAGAAGTTGCAACCAACAGTGTTAGTACCAGAGCAACGTAACAAGAAAGTGAAACAAACCTCCTCTTCCCTCCTTCTGTCAATACGCTTTTAAGGAGAAACTTGTTGGGACTCAGCCTGTGTTTGACCCTGAATCTGTTATAGTGTTTCCCCCTTCTAATGTTTCTGAGCCTGTCTTGGATGTCAATGAGGACGAGGTGCAAAATGGAGACACTTTGGACAATAAGGTTACTACAGACTCAGGTCGAGAAGGGTCAGGGGAAAGGCTAAGTTCTCATGAGAAAATTCCAGGCTCGAGTTTGCAGGAAAGTTCACTCCCTTCTCCAGGCTCAAGTCTGCAAGATAGTTTCACACCTGCAGTTAATGAAGAGATAGATAAGACCAGCCGCCGTCTGGAAATTAGCCAGAACCGTAGAGAGGCCCAATGTTTACGCAGGTCAGAAAGAATTCGGCAGTTAAGGTCAAAGACGGGGTGGGGGGAGTAGAAATCAGTTTCTGGGACTTAAATTGAGCTCTTAGGGAATTTCCTTCAGACCAGGCATCGTTTGGTTTCAAGTCAAGTCTTTTAGATATTCTTGTGGCCTCGTCTCCTAGGTTTAGTGGATTAGCAGTGGCTATGTTCATGGTTTTTATGGAAGGCATTTTATATTTCTTTGCACCTGGATTTAAACAGCAAGTTTTTGGATCTTTGATATTTTTCCTATGTTTGGACACTGTTTATGTTACTGCTTATTTGGCTTTTTGCTTTTGGACTTTTTAAAAATTTTATATTCATCTCTTTTATTGACTTCAATTATTCTTCAAATAAAGATGGCTCTTTTTTCATCCATGGTGTAGTGTAATTAATTATTCTACTCTGGAGTGCAATAAAACCGCTTGCAAGGAGGCTTCTGGAGGGCTTGTGGGTGTAGAGGCAGGGCTATTCATCCATCCTAACATTTGGGAAACGGGTGAAGACGTGGCTGTGGAGTCAGGCCTTCGGTGAATGAGACAACACCATAGGACCCTGGATGGAAGTTGATGTAGATCCATCTTAATAGGACGACTGACCACTGTAGTTTTATATATAGTGTTTTTAAAGTTGTTTTTGTAATTGTGATATATGATATTTTAATGAGTGTATATGTTTTTTATGGCTGGAAACCGGGCTGAGTCCCTTAATGAGGTTGAGAAGCTCGGTATAGAAAACTGTGAAATAAATAAATAAATAAATATTCATGACCAGGCTTCTTGCAGGTCTCCCATTCACAAGGCTAGCATGGGCTGAAGGTGACTTGATAGTGAATGACAACCAAGTCTTAGAAGAGCTACAAACCCCTGCCTTCTTTTTACAGCACGCTGCAGTTAATGTCGATAGCGCTCCTGCAAGGCAGGCCTGTACGTTTGTCCCAGTTGATGGGTGGGAAGGGAGTTCAGGCTCAGGGAAGAACAAGATAAGATGGGAGTCAGGGTCTTAGGGATCAAAGCAAATAAGGCAACACAGCTGGCCAATACTTCAAGCTTTTTTAGATGGGGCAGCTAAAAAACCCCATGTGGTTCTAGGCTGCATTGATAGGAATGCAATGTAGATCGAGGGAAGTCTTCGTCTGTTGGAAACAGCAACCTTCTACAAGCCTCCAGTACTTATTTGTTAAGTATATAATTCAGATTGCTTACTGTATTGTATATGTGTGTATTGATATACAGTTTTCTTTAACTATGTTGTGGGAGGGCCTGCAGACCATGTGATCAGAACTGGGATTATTCAGGACTCAGACTCCATTTTAGAAAGGCAGACGCTATTAAACTTTCAGAATGGAGAAAACAGGGACTTTATTAGACTCTCAGAACAGAGAGATACTTCAGACTATGGACTGTTGATTATAAGAAACATGCTGTAGCAAAATTGCTACTCTATGTTAAATTTTTGGTGTATAGCTCTCTGTTTACATATGGCAGATAGGGAAGAATAGGCACAGACAGGGTAGCAACAGCAGAGATAGGATTCATTTGCATATGTGAAGCCGATTGGTCATATGCAGATTAGCATAGGCCCAGGATTTGAAAAGGCTGCCAGGCCAAAATGACAGTTGGGGAGAGCAGAGCTGAACATTCCAAAGGGGCGGAGCCAAGGTTTTGAAAGAGGCAGTTAGAGTGAGAGAGTTTAAAAATGACAGTTAGGAATCTGTGTGTGAAAAGGATAGTTGGGGTTTTTTTTTAGTGCCTGTTGGAAATAAGCAGTTATGAAGATGTGTTAAAGACTTCTGATATAGAGAAGCAGTTAGTTAAATAGAGCTCGAGGTACGGTAAGGTACATAAAGAAAGCCAGTGTTGGTTTAGTCAGAATATAATTCTGCCAAGAGTGTGTAAAGCAAGTAACATGTTTGTGAATGTGAAACATTGAAAGTCTATTCAGAAAAGTAAACCAAGTCAATGATACTGACTGTAAGCCTCAAGATTGCAACAAAACACAAACGTAACCACAAGCGTTGGAGCCAGAAGTTATAAATAAACTGTTACTTGGTTATACACAAGAGTGTCTCATTGCCTGTGAATAAAAGTACAAAGGTTTAACAGCATGCAGAAAGTCCCAGCCTATATAAAAGAAGAAACTGAATCAGTATAAGAGCAAAGAGGTTTTTAATAAGGAAATAGTCTCTCTCCCTCGCCTCACATGCCCTGTGTTATCTGCACAGAGAAAGTACTTCAAATATATTTGTAACTGGATGGACCTTGGGGTCTCTCCCAACTCTAAGATTCTACTATTCAAGCCATTCAGTCGTACTCACCCTGCACTGCTGCTCATATTTGTTCTTCATCTGCATCAGCCGCTCTTCTTGCAGGAAGAATTCTGCACTTCCTGGGTCGAGATCACCAAACTAGATTCAAAAGACACAGAACGTCATCCTTCTTCTCTGTGTCAACCCCCTTCTTCAATATTAGAGACGCCATTTGCATTGGACCTTGGTGTCCAATCCCCATGGCTAAATTCCAGGAAGAAAGCTTTTGGCAGGATTAGCAGACACTTTATGAGTTGGAGTTACCTTGGGGGAAGTCAAGGAACTTGATAAAACTCCCTTTTTGGGACTACAACTCCCGCAATCCCCCCAGCCAGCATCATGGCCAAGTTGCTCTGATTAATCTCTGATTCATCGGGACCGGGTCTGTGGCACAGCTGGCTGGGAGTCAGCTGCATTAAGATCACTACTGACCGAAAGGTCATGAGTTCGAAGCCAGCCCAGGGCAGAGTGAGCTTCCAACCAATTTGTGTAGCTTGCTGTCGACCTTTGCAGCCCAAACATGAGGAGGAACTTCCTGACTGTGAGAGCCGTTCAGAAGTGGAACTCTCTGCCCCGGAGTGTGGTAGAGGCTCCTTCTTTGGAGGCTTTTAAACAGAGGCTGGATGGCCATCTGTCAGGGGTGATTTAAATGCAATATTCCTGCTTCTTGGCAGGGGTTGGACTGGATGGCCCATGAGGTCTCTTCCAACTCTTTGATTCTAGGATTCTATGAAAAGACAGTTGCATCAGTCAAGTAGGAAATTTAGGTTATTTAACTATTTTACGATGCTATAAAAATCTCCAGCAAGCATGCAAAGCATGAGGAAGTACTTCATCTGTGTCACAAATGGACAGTGAAGCGACAGCTCCCCCAGTGGCCAGAATACCCTCATCAAAAAAGCTGGAAAGTTAAATAGCCTCTGTGTGTCTGTCTATATATGTTGTGTGTCTATGGCATTGGATGTTTGCCATATTTGTGTACATTGTAATCCGTCCTGAGTCCCCTGCGGGGTGAGAAGGGCGGAAAAAAAATACTGTAAATAAATTTATTTATTTACTTACTTACTTACTTACTTACTTACTTACAGCTTTTATATTCCGCCCTTCTCACCCCACGGGGGACTCAGGGCGGATTACAGTGTACACATACATGGCAAACATTCAATGCCAATTTTGACATACAAACATATACAAAGGCTATTTAACTTTTTCTGGCCGCCAGGGGAGCTGTCGCTTTCATCGTCCATCTGCGACGCTGATGAAGCACTGCCGCATTCCCCGCATGCTTCCCCGCTGGGATGCTTTTGCTGGAGTCTTCTTTATGGTCGCATAAATCAGTTAATTTAGCCTCCCCACACTTTAAGGTGGTACCTTATTTTCCTACTTGACAGATGCAACTGTCTTTCGGGTTGCAAAGGTCAACAACAGGCTACACATAATTGGTTGGAAACCCACTCCAACTCGGGCTGGCTTCGAACTCATGACTTTTTGGTCAGAGTGATCTTAATGCGACTGACACTCAGCCGGTGCTTAAATAAATAAATAATCTCTAATTAACGGAGAGGAAATCATATTATCCCTTTCTGTAGTGTGTAGTGTTACATTTCATGTGTAGTATTAATTAATACTCTCCCTTTGGGGAGAGGGGTGGGATATAAAGCTTATGATTATTACTATTTGGCATGGGCCAACTTGGGCCCTCCCTCCAAGTGTTTTGGATTTCAACTCCCACAATTCCTAACAGGCTACTGGATGTTATTAAATGTTATTTAAGGAGAACAAACAAGCCCTAAAATCTTAACCATATAAGGGACAACCAAAAGGCTTTGCTGGAGTATGTTTTGCCCATCTTGATGGTAAAGTAAGACGAGTCCCTTGCCTTCTCTGCCAGGACGTTTTCCCAGTTCTTCTGCAATTTGCTCATCATGCCCTCATACTTTGCCACCTTCTCTCCCGTCTCCAAGAGTTCCTTCTCCAAGCGAGTGTTTTCCTAGAACGGAAGCAAAAGCATCTCTAAACATCATGATACAGTGCCCCTTGCTATCCCCTTCCCTGTGATTACCCAAATATGTGGGTATTCAAATCCCATTATATACAGTGGTGTGATATACTGACCAAACCAAAGTTAGTTTTGAGGATTTTTGAAACATATTTTCAAGCTGCAGATGGCTGAATTCGTGGATACAGAATTTGTGGATACAGATACAGAACTGGTATCCACAGCATCACTTCTCCATAGTTTTCTTATTCAGTTACAGTCTAAGAGAGTCAGCTCCACCTTTAGAGAAGCTTTGTTCCGTACGAAATTCCAGGGGAAAACAGTTCCAAAGGACTCCAGCTGGAGAATCTACAAAGCCTTTACTGGTAGGTCTACTCAGGACCCAAGAAGCAGTTTGGAGCCGGGAGTAGAGCCCACACCAGCAAAGTTTAGAAAGTAGATTGCCCAAGGAAGGGTTAAAAATGGTTTTCCTCTTAAAGAAAAGAAACAGTTCACAAAGTCAGTTGCCTGTCCCTTGTGGACAAGATTAAGAAAGCCACCAGTTGATTCAAAGCCTTGAAGTATTTGTTTAATTTGTTGAAGATCTGAGAAGTATTTGATTGTTTGTGTTGTGGTTCAACAGTCTCCTGAGCAGCCTGAGCAGCCTGATGGGTTTCAGTTTTCTCAGACTGCAGTAGAGTTGGAGAAGCAATTCTCACAGGACAGGAATGCACATGATAAGGATGAGGCCCAGGTGCTGCTTCAAAGGGATACCAAGACTGTGAGAAGAAGCTCGCGGATCGCTGCCAAGTTAGGTCAGCGATGGGTCAAGGGAGAAGTGGAAAAGTAGATTTTTTTGATGTGTAAAAGTATTTAGGGCTTTCACTGGCGATTCACAGCTGTCAGTTTCAACGTGGCTTTCTGCTAGCAGTTTCATGATCCTGCATTGGGAGACAGGAGGCTTGGAGCCTGGGTTTCTTCGTGCTGCTTTTGGACTAAGTTGCTTGGCACAGGGTTTATGCTTCCTGATTCCTGACTCTTGTTTATCTTGATTTTCTCTTAAGGAATTCTGGAACTGTACCGTACATTTTACCTGATCTTTGGAACATTGTATTGACTTAACCTTTGCCTTCTTTTGGAAATCTTACAATAAACTATAAACCTTAGAGCTGTGGTCTGGTGGTGTTTGAGAGCAACGTGAAGCTTAATCTGAGGCGCAACAGTTTTGTTGAAGACCTAAGCAATAATAAAGGACCTTCTTAAACTTTCCAAGCATCTAAAGACTTTGTACAGGAAAATCCTTAGGGCCCCTCAGCTGAGGCACCCCGGCTTCCCGCTGGGCACAAAGAGCACGTCCTGTTCAAAAGCCATTTGATATAGGCCCAGCGTGTGACAGCACAACTATTATGACTTACCTTCAGAGTCAGAGCGAGGCGGTCCCGAAGGTAGTTCTCCTCGGTCTTCAGCTTCTCCATCTCTTGCTCCATTTCCGCCCGCTGCTTGCTGGCCTGCTGCTGGAGCTGCTCCCGGTCTTTCTGGAGCTCGTTTTTGAGAGCTGCAACCCGCTCTTTGTACTCTTCATCCAGCTTGCTGTGAACAACCACAACAACAACAACAACTATATACTTTATTTATATTCTGCCTTTCTTTCCTAAGGGACTCAGAGCAGATTGCAGCATTTACATACATAGGCAAACATTCAATTACTTTACAGTCATATACAATGAAGACACACAAACACAAACAAAGGCAAAGGCTTCTCCTTTCATTTCCGGCTTCTGGAGGCAGTGCTCCTCTCTAGCTCTGGGAGAGGAGCTGTTCTCCAGTTTCAAGCCAAGGAGACTGTGTTGTCACCTCCTGGTTGTGTGGCTGGCAAGATTGCTTGGAGCATCTCTTTGCTTTTTCTGCCAAAGCAGTATCTATGTATCTACTCACATTTGCATGTTTTCGAACTGCTAGGTTGGCAGGAGCAAACCCCATCTTGCAGATTTGAACTGCCAACCTTTAGGTCAGCAGTTCAGCAGCACAAGGGTTTGATCCATTGCACCACTGTGACCCCAATAGCTGCCCAAGTTTTCTGATCCTTTAACTGGCTCTGAGGCTCTAAATCAGTTGTCTTCAACATCTGGCCCTCCAATTTTGGACTTTAGCTCCCAGTCTGCATGGCCCATGCCGGAGGATTTAGGGAACTAAAGTCCAAAACATCTAGAGAACCAAACACTCTGCTCCAGAGGGAAGAGAGGCCTACCTCAAGTTGTACTCGTTCTGGCGTTCAATGGCAGCGTGGTGGTCGTCTACCTCCCGAGCCATGAGCGACGTCAACTTCTCCGCTTTCTCCAAATCCAGGCGTAGTTTCTCCTTTTCTCTGACAACTTGGTCAACCCGCTCCCTAATGAAGAGAAACACATTTCTTTCTCTCATTCTAATAATAGATGAACACCATCTGTCTCTGTGCTCTGTCTCTTTTCGTCTCTAAAGAAATGTGGGCACTTTCAAACCCTCCTCGTCTGATTCTTCTTCTCCCTCCAATTCCTGAGCACTTCCCTGCTCCCCTTCCTCTTCCGAAGATGGGGAATCCCTAACAATAAGTGAGGGAACACTATGTTTTAATGTGAGCATTTCACATAACGATTATGTGGTTCTAGCTATGTTGTAACCCACCTTGAGTCACGAGGAGAGATGAGTAAGAAATAAAATTATTATTATTACTATTATTATTATTATTATTATTATTATTATTATTATTATTATTAGAAAAACAACAAGATGAGTCCAGAACAGACACTCTGCTGGCTGTTGTATTGGATGACACGTCGGACACTTCCCAAGTGTCTAGGACTGTGTGATGTATTGGCAAATAATGTGTGCAAATCCCAGTAAGGTGGCCTTTTGCAGCTGGCAGATGGTAATTTTCTCAGCGCCGATTGTGTTTAAGTGCAGGCCAAGGTCTTTAGGCACTGCACCCAGTGTGCCGATCACCACTGGGACCACCTTTACTGGTTTGTGCCAGAGTCTTTGCAGTTCGATCTTTAAATCTTCATGTCATGTCAGCTTTTCTAGTTGTTTCTTTTCAATCCTGCTGTCACCTGGGATTGCGACATCAGCAATTCATACTTTGTCTTATTATTATTGTTATTATTATTATTATTAAACTATCAGCACTACAGCTTATCTGAATTACAAAGTTTGTAAACTCAAAACATCAGAAAGCAAAGACGTTACTGTCTCAGCCACCCATATGGCAATTTTGGAGGATTTTGTAATATTCCAGCTAAGGGATGCTCAACCTGTATTTAAACACAGACGAAAAACGTACATCAAATGCCGGATCTCTGTTTTGAAGCTGGCCAGGGCTGCCTGGTAGATCCCGTTCTTTACCACGAGAAGCTCATTCTCCAAGGCAAGGGTGAGCTCTGCCAGGTTGATTTTCCCATCCAAGCTGAAATCTAGAGCCTGTCAGAAAGGAATATGTAAAAACGAAATAAATTAGTTTTGTAAAATTATTCCTACTTTTAGCCAACAAACTCTCGGGTTTCTGGTTTGATTGCATTATGGGATGCAAGGATGGCTGAACCTGTGGATATGGAAGGCTGACTTCGAGAGTCTCCGTTTGCTCATCTTAGCTTCTAGGGACAGAGTCATGTCTGTTACTCTTTGTTTCAATTGCAACCACATCTGTACCATCGCTAACCCTGGGGACTGGGATTCCTGGATAATATGGAAAGTCAGGCCCTGGTCTCGAAACTTCCAGTTCTCCGTATCCTTCCAGAATTGGATGCATGGAACCCAACGGAGAAGATAAGGGCCATTTTAGGTTGCATGGCTAAGTAACAACAGTAGCTGGTAGACCAAGCATGGGCAAACTTGGTCCCTCCAGGTGTTTTGGACTTCAACTCCCACAATTCCTAACAGCCGGTAGGTTGTTGACGTTCAGCCTGTGATTGTGTTTCAGGATCAGGGTGCTTTGGATGAGGGGAATGATGTCAATGAGGTTCAAGGTGGAAATGGTTTGGTCAGTGATATTGATGCAGAGAATGACATAGAGACACCTGTTCATGAGAATGTTTCTACAGGGTATAGGGATGATGGTTTACTCCCTGAATTGCTCCCAGGATTTGGGGCTTGAAAACAACTTGGCACCTGCAGAAACTGATGAGCATATAGATAGACGGGTGGAAATTACCCAAAACAGACAGCTCGACCAAGGCCTTTGGCGTTCTGCCAGGATTCGACAGAAAAAGATAAGAGGCATTCACGGAAAACGAAACCAATTTCTGAGTGCTTGGAATGGCTTAACGAGGGGATATAAAGTTCCAAGCATGGGAAATATAGCCAGATGAAGCATCATTTAGAATCCTGCTAAGTTCTTGCTCTTGTCTCATGGAAGCCTTGCTGGGAAGATTCATGTTTAAGGATTTCTTGTTTCGTCGTTTGACTCTTTGTCTCTTGTGATCATGCCTTGGATCAACGTTTCCTGGTTCTTTGGATTTTGAGTCTGGACTTTGTTTTTGGACTTTGCTGGACCCTACCTTGGACTAATTTGTTTCTGCTTATCTTCTTACCTAATTGGATTTTCCTATTCCTTTAAAGTGCTTTTTTACTTTGCTGCTTTTACTTATTTTCAATAAAAAAGGATTGTTTTTCCCTATTCAACGTGTGGTGTTTTAAAGTCAGAGGGTTATTCCTGTCCCCGAGTGCAACAGCGGTAGACAATGGCATCCCTCACCTTCAAGATCTCATGACTGTTCTCAATCCCTTCTTCATGCCACGCATCCAGGATCTGTTCCACTGAAGCATAACCCATCCCATCATCCAGGCTGGAGAACACCCGGAAACCGATTGTACTCGTCATTGCTGATGGTGTGGTGTTGCGTCTCCCAGTCTCGTCAAAGGCCTGAGGTGGTACAGAGAGAAAGAGAGAGAGATGATTGAGGGGATGGTGTCAAACCCTGTTGCCCAAATTCCACTCCCCTGGAAAATTATCATATTGGGGAGATGTGTCCAGAACATTTTTTCTGACGTATCTTATGGACGGAGGTGGGAAATGTGAGGTTCACAGATTCTGGAATGCAATGCCCAGCCTTCCTTCCTGGCTCTTGCAATTCTGCATGCTCTAGAGCAGGTACGGGCAAACTTGGGCCCTCCAGGTGTTTTGGCCACCTGGAGTGCCTCTGGTGTTGGACACATAATATAAAACCATAATAAGAATACTAAAAGCATACATCATAACTCATTTTATAAAGTATGATCTTCCTGAGAAGAGCTAAAAACTCGTTTGAGTGAATCTCTTCTTTAGTGGTAAATATCCACTAGTATTCATGGAAGGCAATTTAGATTTTTCAGTTGTTAGACTGATATACCCGGTTTATTTCTTTGAACTCTTAGGAATAAAGATAGGCCAATGCACAAAATACGGTACATAGCAGATCTTCAGAAGTGTTATTTCAGTTGCCTCAAAACATCTACTCTCACATAAAGGATATTTGGTTTTACATCATAGAAGTCTCTTTTGTGATGTTGCAGTCTCTTCTCTGTCTTATGTCTAATGCATAATGAACACTGACTACTCGTACAATGCACAATACACTGCCTGAACACTGACACACTGACTTCTAAACTGTACTGACTTCTAAAATGGAGTCTCAGTCTGAATAGTCCCAGATCTGGTCACATGATGTGCAGTCCTTCCCACAATCTCAAACAACATAGAGTTAAGGAGGCTGCATACCAGAACATAAGCAATCACAATGATATACATAACCAATCACTAGTATAAGAGGCTTGTAGAAGGTTGCTATTTCCAACAGTTTTGGTTTGCAACACGGGGTCCCCACCTGCATAGAGAGGTGCCGTTTTAGCTGCCGATATGGGGTGGAGGCGGAGGGCGGGAGAGGCTTCCTGATCTTAAACAAGCCGTAGAAGAAGTCTTCGATGCTCATGGTGCCATTGTTGTGCTCAAGGTCGCGGAAGACCTCCTCTAGTACCTGAGGAAAGAGGAAAACAGGGAGATTTGCAGAGCATTGTGGAAAATTCAACACCAACAGTGCTGGGGAGACAAGAGAAAGATAAGCTTCAGGTAAAAAGCAGGGTTTCACTAGAGTAGCAGAGGGCAACTAAGCAGAGAATTGGGGACATTTTTCCTTCCTGTGCCTTGGGTTACACCGGTGTGTTTTAGCGCTAGTGTGATGTCACTTCTAGCAACCATTTCGGTTGTATTTTCCCCCTTTTTCTTGTGTGTGTGTGTGTGGGGGAGCCATCTTGGGAAGGTTTGGGAAACGTGATAGATTAAGGGAAGAGTGACTTCCTGTGGTTCTGGCTGGTGTGAGTGAGTTTGGCCTCTTTTAAGATGGTGGTTGTGGTGGGCTTGGGGTTCCAGCATGCTCTGTCGCACCTCAGAGTAGATTCACCTTGCTGAAATCACCAAGCTGCACCTGGACTGAAGTCTTTGTAGTTTATTGAAAAGTAAAAGATAGGAAGTTCTCAAAAATAAGTAATGTTCCAAAAGATCAATAAAACATAGCACTGTAAAGCAGGATTCCAAGAGGCACCAACAACACGAAATCTCAAGAGAGCATGACAAAGCCCCAAGACAATGGACGCAAGAGCTACAAGATAATCCAGGCTAACGAGCACAAGCTGCTTGGTTAAGCGAAAAGTTGCTCTGACAAAGGTTTGTTTTCAAACACACTGCTTACTACCCTTTGCAATACATGAAAGCATTTATTTGGCCTCTGACCTCCTTCTTGTTGGCTATTCTTACACTCCTTCGAACTCTGAATTCCAAACAGTCCGCCCGATCTAAGATTCCCGTTTCATCAAGGTCAGGCTGCTCGTTAGCGTCAGCCTGGTTCCCTTCTTGCTTACTATCAGGCTGAGAACTGTCCTACTTTTCTGAGTCAATTTGCACCTGGCTAGTTTCAGTATCAGAAACATCCTTCCCTGCTGTGGGAAACGGAACCGCAGGGTTCTATACTGTCCCCCATGTTGTTTAACATCTACATGAAGCCACTGGGGGAGATCATCCGGAGTTTCGGGGTGCGGTGTTATCTGTACGCAGATGATGTCCAACTCTGTCACTCCTTCCCACCTACTACTAAGGAGGCTGTTCAGGTCCTGAACCGGTGCTTGGCCGCTGTATCGGACTGGATGAGGGCTAACAAATTGAAACTGAATCCAGACAAAACAGAGGCACTCCTGGTCAGTCGAAAGGCCGAACAGGGCATAGGGTTACAGCCTGTGTTAGACGGGGTTACACTCCCCCTGAAGACGCAGGTTCACAGCTTGGGTGTGACCCTGGATTCATCGCTAAGCCTGGAACCCCAGGTTTCGGCGGTGTCCAGAGGAGCATTTGCACAACTAAAACTTGTGCGTCAGCTGCGCCCGTACCTTGGGAAGTCTGACTTGGCCATGGTAGTCCACGCTCTGGTTACATCCCGCATAGATTACTGCAACGCGCTCTACATGGGGTTGCCCTTGAAGACTGCCCGGAAGCTTCAAATGGTCCAGCGCTCAGCAGCCAGGTTGTTAACAGGAGCGGCACTCAGGGAGCATACCACTCCTCTGCTGTGCCAGCTCCACTGGCTGCCAATCTGCTACCGGGCACAATTCAAGGTGCTGGCAATAGCCTATAAAGCCCTAAACGGTTCTGGCCCTACTTACCTCTCCAAACACATCTCCACCTATGAACCGACTAGGACATTAAGATCGTCTGGGGAGGCCCTGCTCTCGATCCTGCCTGCGTCACAGGCGCGTTTGACGGGGACGAGGGACAGGGCCTTCTCAGTGGTGGCCCCTCGGCTGTGGAATGCCTTACCTGTAGACATCAGACAGGCCCCTTCACTGTTGGCGTTCCGGAGGAAGGTTAAGACTTGGCTTTACGAACAAGTGTTTGGCTAAACAGTGCAACTGAACACAGGAAGACGGTAAAATCGAACATAGGAAAATGGTACAAGGATTATGAGAATGGATTCTGATTTGCTATTGAGGTGTTATGATATGATAATGATTGTTTCTTGATTTTGTCTGTTATGTATAATGTGTTTTAATTGCTTATGATATTGTTGTGATAACCTGTATTATGTAAACCGCATTGAGTCGCCTAATCGGGTTGAAAAATGCGGTATAGAAATAAAGCAAATAAATAATAAATAAATAAACTTGCACACCCTGTTCCTCATTGTCTACAACAGGAACTTTTTTAACCTGAATCCCATAATCCTCGTCAGAGTCACTCTGAGACCCCATTTGAGTCACAACACTATCAATCTGTGTCTGTAGTTCCAGCTGAGTCACAACATGCCCAGTCTTTGCTGAGTACCGACCGTGAGGCCTTCATAGGCATCCTGCACTAGATAGTGAAACATGATGTCCAGGAGAATGATGAAGAGGCAGTGCAAGTCAAGGAGCAGAGCACCTTAGTCAAGGCAGGACATGCAGAAGAGCTTGGAGGCCTTCACTCGCTCCCACCAGCTGGAACCACAGGCAGTGGATTTTTCTGATGTTTCATAGAATGAGGGAATTGATGGGTTTCAAAGAGTCTGTTAGAGAATTGCGGGCCAAGGATTCCTGTGCTCTTTCCCAAGCAACAAAAAGTGAACGTTTCAGTTACCTTGTGAAATGGCCTTCAGTTGATTGGGAGTTTTCCTGAGAAGCCAGATTAGGTTTGAGAACAGAGGGAGTGAAAAATAGACAGGGTTGTTGTAGGTTTTTGCGGGCTGTATGGCCATGGTCTAGAGGCATTGTCTCCTGACGTTTCGCCTGCATCTATGGCAAGCATCCTCAGAGGTAGTGAGGTCTGTTGGAACTAGGAAAAAGGGGTTTATATATCTGTGGAATGACCAGGGTGAGACAAAGGACTCTTGTCTGCTGGAGCTAGGTGTGAATGTTTCAACTGACCACCTTGATTAGCATACAATGGGCTGACTGTGCCTGGAGCAAACTTTTTCCTAGTTTGTCCTAGTTCCAACAGACCTCACTACCTCTGAGGATGCTTGCCATAGATGCAGGCGAAACGTCAGGAGAGAATGCTTCTAGACCATGGCCATACAGCCCGAAAAAACCTACAACAACCCAGTGATTCCGGCTATGAAAGCCTTCCACAATCCATTGAAAAATAGACTAATTGTTGACTTTCAAGGAGTTTTGGGGAGATTCTGACTGTTTAATTCTTTGGGGCTTTGAGGGGTTTTTAGGATTCGATCCCATGGTCTCGGGTCCCATGAGCCACATCTGATCTTCAGGCTGTACTTCACCTATCTGGGATCAAGGAAAAGTCTCATGTTTACTTGATTATCAAGTGACCCCAAATCATGAATATAACATTTATTCACACACACATATACTGGAGATGGCAGGCATTTAATCTGTAATCTTCTAAATCCAAAAGAGACGATATAACACATGCGATGTTTTGGATTCAAGAGATTCCAGGTTGAATCCCTGGCATCTCCAGTATAAGTGTATGGATAAATGATCGACAGTTACATATGTCTTGTAGACTGAAGAGATCCTGCATGATTCTTTGCGGAGGAGTCGTACTCGGAGGAGGGAGACGGAGGCCTCAACGGATACCTGAGCGCCAATATTCTGCAAGCCGTACTGCTCGCAAATGGAGACCAGCTTCTTCCGGCTGAGGTGCCCGTCCCGGGAGATGCCAAGGCTTTCACACACTTCACACAGCTTTTCTTCGATCCAGTCCTGAGTGGGGGAGATGCTGGGAGAGGCATTCAAATCATCGGGATTCCAGAATCTCAACTGGCCTAGAAAAGAAAAAGAAGGAAGCTGTAGATCCTTTTTCTTCACCGAACAAAGCAAATGCTCACATATTCATTATCTCCTTGATTCTACTGATTCTTTACCAGGCATGGGCAAACTTGGGCCCTCTGGGTGTTTTGGATATCAACTCCCACCATTCCTAGCAGCCTCAGGCACCTTCCTTTTCCCTGTCAGCTTCTTAAGTGGAAAAGCAAAGGGAAAAGGAGAAGGAAGGGGTCTGAGGCTGTTAGGAATTGTGGGAGTTGACGTCCAAGACACCTGGAAGGCCAAAATTTACCCATGCCTGGTCTGGAGAACATACTACTCAAATCCACAAACAAGCCAACCCATAAAAGCAAAACCCACAAAAGTGGAGGGATGACTGTATTCTAATTTGATTATTCACTACAGTGTTTATAAACTATTCGAATTATTTCTCATGGTTTCAAATGTAAATTGTTCTGAGTTGGCTTTACCTGTAGGCTTCCCTGAGAATCCATGTTATAAGATGTTATAAGGTGTGATATAAATATAGGATAGTTTTGATGGTGTGGTGAGAGAATTAGAACCAGACATCCTGAGGAGTGAGGTTGACTTGGCCTTAAGAAGCATTGCTGCCAACAAGCCAGCAGGAGACGACGGGATCCCAGCTGAACTGTTCAAAATCTTGAAAAATGATGCTATTAAGGTGATGCATGCCATATGCCAGCAAATATGGAAAACACAAGAATTGCCATCAGATTGGGAAAAAATCAACTTATATCCCCATATAAAAAAGGGAAATGCTAAAGACTGCTTAAACTTCTGTACAGTGGCCCTTATTTCTCATGCCAGTAAGGTAATGCTCAAGATCCTGCAAGGAAGACTCCAGCAAGACATGGAGAGAGAGTTGCCAGATGTTCAAGCTGGGTTTAGAAAAGGCAGAGGAACGAGAGACCAGATTGCCAATATCCGGATGCTGGATAATGGAGAAAGGCAGGGAGTTTCAGAAAAACATCTACTTCTGCTTCATTGACTATTCTAAAGCCTTTGACTGTGTGGATCATAATAAATTGTGGCAAGTTCTTGGTGGGATGGGCATACCAAGCCACCTTGTCTCTCTTCTGAGGAATCTGTACAAGGACCAAGTAGCAACAGTCAGAACTGACCAGGGAACAGGAGATCGGTTCAAGATTGGGAAAGGCGTACGGCAAGGCTGCATACTCTCCCTCAACCTATTCAACTTGTATGCAGAACACATCATGCGAGGATGTGCGGGGCTGGATGAATGCAAGGCTGGGGTGAAAATTGCTGGAAGAAACATTAACAACCTTAGATATGCAGATGATACCACTTTGATGGCTGTGGCGAAGCCCTCTTACCTTCAGCTTCATATTCCTCGCTGTCCTGGGATCTCCAGCGCTAAGAAACAAAACAAAAGAAAATATGTTTGCTGGAATTTTCAGAATAAAATGAAAAGACCTATTTACCTGTTGCAAGTGAACAACCCAAAAATCTAGTCTCACCTTAAAGGCTAACAGAGTTAGAGCAAAAGCAGCATCGGACAAATCAATACATATTTTTGTATCTTTGGTGGTTGTAATGCTGTTTGTGTTTGTGTGAAAGCAAGAACAAGTGCTCACTTCCAGGAATGTAAAGAGGTGGGAATTACAAAATCCGATAGCCCTTTAAGATACCAAAAAGATTCTTCTTTTCTTAATTCTTGTCCAAACGTTTAAAACCATTCCACAATTGGGAAATGTTGCGATGCCATCCGGCTCCTGATCGATTCTGCCATCATGAGAAGGCAGATGGGATTTTGGCCTACATCAATAGGAGCATAGTGTCTAGATCTAAGGAAGTAATGCTCCCCATACTCTATTCTGCATTGGTTAGACCACACCTGGAATATTGTGTCCAATTCCGGGCACCACAATTCAAGAGAGATATTGACAAGTTGGAATGTGTCCAGAGGAGGGCAACTCAAATGATCAAGGTCTGGAGAACAAGCCCTATGAGGAGCGGCTTAGGGAACTGGGCATGTTTAGCCTGAAGAAGAGAAGGCTGAGAGAAGATATGATAGCCATGTATAAATATGTGAGAGGAAGCCACAGGGAGGAGGAGGAGGGAGCAAGCTTGTTTTCTGCTTCCTTGGAGACTAGGACGCGGAACAATGGCTTCAAACTACAAGAGAGGAGATTCCATCTGAACATTAGGAAGAACTTCCTGACCGTGAGAGCCGTTCAGCAGTGGAACTCTCTGCCCCGGAGTGTGGTGGAGGCTCCTTCTTTGGAAGCTTTGAAACAGAGGCTGGATGGCCATTTGTCAGGGGTGATTTAAATGCAATATTCCTGCTTCTTGGCAGAATGGGGTTGGACTGGATGGCCCAGGAGGTCTCTTCCAACTCTTTGATTCTATGATTCTATGATTAAAAGGAAAATCATTGTTTGAGCCTGTCTTTTTCAGACTTCTGTAAACACTTCGATCCCAAGCCAACATTCAAGGCGACATTTGTACCCTTACTCACAAAAGAACGTGGCTTTCTTCTCACAGAGACCCCTGCCGCTCCAGCAATTCCTCTGACAAAAGATCCACTTGGGATACAAAGAGCCCCCGGAGATCTGGGGGGAAACCAATGGGCAGCCCAGGCGACAACATGAGTGTTATGCGGGATCCAGATGGGGCCAGAGGGAGGGAAGGAGCGGGGACTTGATGTATTGTCGAAGGCTTTCATGGCTGGGATCATTAGGTTCTTGTGGGTTTTTTCGGGCTATATGGCCATGTTCTAGAGGCATTTTTCTCCTGACGTTTCGCCTGCATCTATGGCAAGCATTATCAGAGGTAGTGAGGTCTGTTGGAACTAGGAAAATGGGTTTATATATCTGTGGAATGACTGGGGTGGGGCAAAGAGCTCTTGTCTGCTGGAGCTAGGTGTGAATGTTTCAACTGACCACCTTCAGTAGCATTAGAAGGCCTGGCTGAGCCTGGGGGAATCTTTTGTTGAGAGGTGTTAAGATGTGCCTGGTTGTTTCCCCTCTGCTGTTTTGCTGTTGTAATTTTAGAGTTTTTTAATACTGGTAGCCAGATTTTGTTCAGTTTCATGGTTTCCTCCTTTCTGTTGAAATGGTCCACATGCTTCTTGTGGATTTCAATGGCTTCTCTGTGTAGTCTGACATGGTGGTTGTGAGAGTGGTCCAGCATTTCTGTGTTCTCAGATAATCTGCTGTGTCCAGGTTGGTTCATCAGGTGCTCTGCTGTGGCTGACTTCTCTGGTTGAAGGAGTCTGCCGTGCCTTTCATGTTCCTTGATTCGTGTTTGGGCAATGCTGTGTTTGGTGGTCCCTATGTAGACTTGTCCACGGGGGCTTGTTTTGTGGTGAGAACAGGGATGGATACTTAAGCAGGCTGAACCCCCTGATCCTTGGGTGGAGAGGCAGCCAAAGACCTAACAGAGGCAGGACATGGAGAAGAAGACAAGTGCAAAGATTGTCCTCAAGTGCGGTGTCTTGGGTGGTGGGTCCGTAGGTGACTGTGGAGCCCTATTCGTGATCCGCATGTTCTCCCGCAGTAAAGACATCGGTTTCCAGGTGGAAGGCAGTCCCAGTCAGGGTTGGCTTGACGCGCCTTCTTCTTGGCAAGTTTCTATCTTTCTCCCTCCATTCATGCCTCTTCAAATTCTACAGCACTGCTGGCCACAGCTGACCTCCAACTAGAGCATTCCCAGTTCTCAGTGTTTATGCCACAGTTTTTAAGGTTGGCTTTGAGCCCTTTCGCCCTTGCCATTATCACAAACTCGTCTTGTAAGCACAATTTATTTATTCATTTATTTATTTACAGCATTTTTACCCTGCCCTTCTCAACCCCCATGGGGGGGTGGTGACTCAGAGTGGCTAACAAAGGCAGCAGTTCGATGCCACAATCAATGTGCCGTCGCGCCTGGTGGCTATTATTCTCAATAAAGGAGGGATGGACGTGGCATCTTTCCCCCAAGGGATTGCTTCTTGCCCTCCTATAGGAAACTGGAACTTTCAAGAACCCAAAACGCTGTAAATAACTCAAAATAATTTTTATTTATCACAAAGTCATTTCTTTAAAGCAATGAGCTGGAAAACTTCAGAGGGGTGAAGGAAAATATACGTTACAGTCTCAATTAGTCCTGGGTCCAAGGGGTTTGAAGCTGAGAAGCCTCACCAAGTTTCCTCTTTCCTCAATGGCTGTGAATGCCGGAGCAAACCACAACCCCAGTTCAGATGACCTATGTTTTGAAGACTCGGGATCTTTCTTTGGTGCCAAAAGAACCAGTTTGAAAGCGCTTGGGTCTCCTCAATGTTGTCCAGGACGATCTGGACATAAAGCATGAGTCTGAAGGGTAAGAAACCTCAGAGTTGATGCTAAGAGGCAACTTAAATCAGGGTCTTTTAGAGTCAAGTCTCTTACTCACGTCCATATGGTAGGAACTCTGATGGCAGAATGAGAAAGAAAAGGAAGCTCTCCCCTCCTGCAGGAAGAGGTACTGATTGCCAGCTATAAGTAACCAATCCATACAACTATACATAAGCAGGGTAAAAGGGGCAGGATTAAGCATGATACAACAGCTTAAATCTTGCAACTAACAGTTTTACACATAGGTGGTGCCACTTGCGCCGTCACAATCAATAACACAGTATAAAACCATAAAAACGTACAGAGTTAAAACAGTAGCAATTAATTACAACCAAATTATCATAACAGTCATTAAAAACAATGAGGGAGAGAGCCTTTTCTTCTGTGGCCCAACTTTGGAACTCATTGCCCAGTGAGATTAGGAAGGCCCCCCACCTTAGAAATTTTCAAGAGGGATCTCAAAACCATGTTTTTCTGATGTGCTTTTGGAGAGTAGCCATATTATCATACACAGTTTTTGTCCCCAGAGTATATTTCCCCACCTGTATGAAGGTCTATATCTATGACCCTGTTCCTTTATGAGTTTCTCCCTCACAAACAATCTGCTCTATCCCTATCTCATCCTGATTTTAATATTTTTAGTATCTTAGTTTTTATCTTGCACATGCGGCCCGCTCATTGTTATGTTACGTTATTTTATTGTGTATGATTTTGCTTCATCGTCTTTATACTCATATGTTGTATGTATTTTACTGTGTTGTTATTGTGTTTTGGTTTTACTTTATTGTAATATGCTGTTGGGCTTGGCCTCAGGTAAGCTGCCTCGAGTCCCCATTGGGGAGATTTTTTTTTTTGTCGTGTCAGGAGCAACCGCTCCTGTTGTGAAAGAATTGGCCGTCTGCAAGGACGTTGCTCAGGGGACGCCTGGATGATTTTTGATGTTTTATCATCCTTGTGGGAGGCTTCTCTCATGTCCCTGCATGAGGAGCTGGAGCTAATAGAGCCCCTGGAGTTTCCTATGTGAGTCTGCTCTTGCTAACCTGTCCTTTAATTGGAGATGCCAGGGATTGAATTGTACCATTTTCCTTGCAAAGTAGGAGTACTTGATATTTGCGCTCCTCTGTCTGAGCATGGGCTTCCTGTGCACTTTGTATCCAGAACATATGCCAGGATCATTTTATTCCTGGCACAGCAATATGGAGTAGGTGAATCCGCCTCTCCCCGGATTCGAACCTGCGACCTGTCGGTCTTCAGTCCTACCAGCACAGTGCTTTAACCCACTGCGCCACCGGGGGCTCATTGGGGAGATGGTGGCAGGGTATTAAATAAAGTTATTATTATTATTATTATTATTATTATTATTATTATTATTATTATTATCTTTAAAACTCTTTTCCTCTCCTCCAACATTACGTTTTTCATTCTTGAGTTCGGAGTAGAGTAACTGCTTTGGGAGACGGTGATCGGGCATTCGGACAACATGGCCGGTCCAGCACAGTTGATGAACGCGAAAACCGAGGTTACAACAACATCTGTTATAGAACTCCAATATGCTGATGACAACATCATCTGTGCGCATTCAGAAGAAGACCTACTAAACACCTTTGCAGAAGCATACAAGAAGCTTGGCCTGTCATTGAACATCGAGAAAACCAAAGTGCTCTTCCAGCAATTACCAGATAATCTGTCTGCAATGCCAGAAATACAGCGTAATACCTTAGGGAAGGCTGAGTGAAGGAAGATGGATGCTTTTGAGCTCTGGTGTTGGAGGAAAGTTCTGAGAGTGCCTTGGACTGCGAGAAGATCCAACCAGTCCATCCTCCAGGAAATAAAGCCCGGCTGCTCACTGGAGGGAAGGAGACTAGAGACAAAGTTGAAGTACTTCGGGCACATCATGAGGAGACAGCAAAGCCTAGAGAAGACAATGATGCTGGGGAAAGTGGAAGGCAAAAGGAAGAGGGGCCGACCAAGGGCAAGATGGATGGATGGCATCCTTGAAGTGACTGGACTGATCTTGAAGGAGCTGGGGGTGGTGACGGC